TTAAATTGGCGGGTCCTATTTTTGTATCATCATCGTTGGCCGTTCCTTGTTTACTAGGCACGGACTTTCTGTCTAAAATGCCCATCAAAATTCTTATAGACCAGGCCTGCATTGAGCTTCCGTCGGGTCGGCGGGTTGAGTTTTTGAAGAGTCCAAATAAGATACGCACGGCTTGTGCGACGGTGCAGGCGCTGGCAACCCGGACTGTACAGGTGCCCCCGGGATCGCAAATGTTGGTACCCCTTCGGTTGAGAAAACCCCTTGGGGCGGATGCGGGGGCACAGGGGGTTCTATTGGGGCCGTCTAACAGGGCTAAAGGGGACCTCGACTTAGCGGTGGCCCAGACCATGGTGAGGGGGGACAGCGAGCCGTTCGTTGTGGTCCTGAATACGGGGTCGCGGCCGGCCGTGATTACGCAGGGAACGGTGCTCGCTCACGCCGCGCCGCTACCCGTCGAGGAACGGCTCGTTGCTCACGCAGATTCAAATGTCGATACGCATCCCCAAAGTGAGGAGGGGACGGAGTGGTTGGACTCGTTGTGTGCCGGGTCCAGTACCTTGTCCAGTGTGCAGTTGGGTGCATTGAGGGGCTTGCTGCTCGAGTTCGCTGACGTGTTTAGCAGGCACAAGTACGACATTGGCTGCACAGACCTGTTGCGCCACCACATAGAGACTGGGGACACGGCCCCTATTCGACAGAATCCCTTCCGGCTCAGTCCAGCCGAGAAGGAGCATGTGCAGTCGGCAGTAAATGACATGTTGGCGGCCGACATCATTGCGCCCTCTTCCAGTCCGTGGGGTGCTCCTATCGTCTTGGTTAAAAAACAGGATGGATCCCTGCGGTTCTGTGTCGATTTCCGCCGCCTAAACAAAATATCAATGGCCGATGCGTATCCGCTCCCCAGGATGGATGAGTCGCTGGATGCCTTGGCAGGAGCACAGTTTTTTTCGACGCTCGATTTGCTTTCGGGATTTTGGCAATTGCCCCTCGATGACGAATCAAAACCTAAAACCGCTTTCCGGACACCGGGAGGTCTATTTGAGTTCAACCGATTGCCCATGGGTTTACATTCCGCTCCTGCCACGTTCCAGAGGCTCATGGAATTGGTTTTGTCAGGCCTTCAATGGGACACCTGTTTGATTTACCTCGATGATATCATCGTTTTCAGCCGAACTTTTGAGGAGCACCTCCAGCGACTGAGAGCAGTGTTTCTCAGGATGCGTTCCGCGAAGCTAAAATTTAAACCGGCTAAATGTTTTCTGCTTCGGGAATCGGTCAGGTATTTGGGCCATATCGTTAGCCGTTCGGGGATCTCGACGGACCCTGCTAAGACGCAATGCGTCGGCTCATGGCCAACACCGACCTCTGTTACTGAAGTCCGCAGCTTCATAGGATTTGCCTCCTATTACCGTCGTTTTGTCAAGCAGTTTGCCACCATAGCCAGGCCCCTGCACGCTTTGACGGCTTAAGGGGTGCGGTTTCACTGGGGGCCGGAGGAGGAGGCCGCGTTCTGCTCCCTTCGTGACGCCTTGGTGCAGGCTCCCCCCTTGTGTTACCCCGATTTCACGCAACCGTTTGTGCTCGACACGGATGCCAGTAACACGGGTATCGGGGGAGTGCTCTCACAGGTGGTCGGGGGGGTCGAACGGGTGGTCGCCTACGGTAGCAGGGTTCTGTCCCCCGCGGAACAACGCTACTGCGTGACACGGCGTGAATTGCTGGCGATTGTGTTTTTTATACAGCAGTTCAGGCCGTATCTGTATGGCCGTCACTTTACGGTTCGCACGGACCATGCGGCTCTCCAATACGCTATGCGGGTGGCGCAGCCATCCGGCCAATTGTCCCGATGGTTGGAGGTCCTTCAGGACTACCAATTCACGACGATTTACCGCAAGGGGTTGCGCCACTCGAATGCGGATGCATTGTCACGGTTGCCGACGCGTACGGAATGCGCATGTCAGTCAGGATCGGCGCGGTGTAAACCCTCTGTCGCTGTCCCCGCGGAAGTGGTGCTAGCCGCCACGGATACTACGGGGGTCGACGCCCCCACGGGGAGGGACTCGCTGTTGGCATTGCCTCTCATCGAGTGGGGCCGTCTGCAAATGGCCGACAGCTCCCTACTCGCGCTACGTCGTAAGGTTGACGTTCCCGAGGGCGGGGAAACGCGGGTCGGTTCCTGGGTGTGCAAACAGGGCCTCTTGATGAAGTGGGACTCCATGTCCCGGCGTCACATGCTTGTGGTGCCGGTTGCTGTACGGGGTAAGGTCGTCCTGGCTGCCCATGAACGACTCATGCATCTGGGGTTTCACAAAACGCTCGCCCTCATTCAGCGAGACTACTATTGGCCGGGGATGGGAAATGACGTGGCGAACATTCTTAAGGGGTGTGTAGGGTGCGCTAAAAGAAAACCGCCACCAATAGTGGCTAATCCACCGCTGCAATCCATTCAAGTTTCGCGCACGAACGAATTGGTCGCGCTAGACATCTTGGGGCCCTTTCCCACTACACCTCGGGGAAATAAGTTCCTGCTGGTTGGCGTAGAGTACTTCACCCGCTGGCCCATGGCGTGGCCACTCGCCAACCAGTCGGCTGCGGCAGTGGCGGACGCCTTTGTCCAAGGTTACGTTTTGGACAAAGGCGCCCCCGAACGCTTGCTGACGGATCAGGGAAAAAACTTTTCGAGTGTTTTGTTGCGCGAGGTGTGCGACCTGTTGGGTACAAAGAAAGTACGTACCTCCCCGTACCACCCGCAGACTGACGGTATGGTTGAACGTCTGAACAGGACGATTACGTCTATGCTGTGCCAACAGGTATGCGACGACCAGGTGAATTGGGACTTACAGGTACCCGGGGTACTAGCGGCCTATCGGATGGCACCCCATGCGGCGACGGGGTTTTCTCCATTTTTTCTGATGTATGGGCGGGAGGCTGATCCGGCCATGGACGTCCAACTGGGGATTTCACAGCCACGTGCAAAATCTAAATTGGCAGACCATATTAAGTTTAACATCGCCAAATTGGCTGAGGCGCGAGAGGCTGCGAGATTGAATTCACGCTCTCGGCAGATCGCGAACGAGCGAGTGCATGAACGGAAGGTGCATACGCACAATTGGGAACCGGGCGATAAGGCCTGGCTGCATTGTCCACACGCACCGTTGGCTACGTCCCCCAAACTGTTGAGACCATGGAGGGGACCGGTGGAAATTGTGCGGGTTGCACGACCCCAGAGTATACAGATTAAATGGGGAAAACGCCGTTGGTACGTGCACCCCTCCCGACTGAAACCCTACGCGGCGCCGCGTGACCCCGGGTTGTGCCGTGACGACCGAGCGTGTGATGTGACCGTCGACTCGGGGAGGGATGTGTCGCAGGCTGATCCTCACGTGTCTCCACCTGACCCACCCCCAGGTGTCTCGGACCTGACGGCTGTTGACCGTCGGGAACCGGAACCCCGCGGCTCACGCGGAGCCCCGATGCCTGGCCCATGCCTTCCTGAACTGCCGGCGCCGCCGGATGGCCAACTGCGTCCTGTGCCGTACGACGGTCCGGCAAGGCGGACTCGGGCAAGGACGCAACACTTTTCATGAAAAAAAAAAAAAATTTATTCTTTTTTTGTTAAAGCCCGACCTCGTTGCCGGCTTCCCCCTCTGCCGGGGTAATGTCCCGTTCAAGGGACGCTCGGACACATTGGGACGCTGCATGAGTCGGAGAGAAAAGAAGAGGAAATGAATAAAGAAAATTTTTTTATTGTTATTCTTTCCGCATACGCAGTATCGTTGCCACTCGCCGGATTGTGCATGTTGTTCTTGTTGTGGGTGTGGCGGTTGCTGGGTTTTGCGGATTGCGGTGTTCATGTTGTGTTGTTAGGGTTTGTTGTTATGTTACGGGGCACACATGGGGGTGAAGGGGTGTTGTATGTTTTATTAGCAGCCGGGTCGGCTGCGAGCTATGTGGTAGGGGGTGATGTAGTGGTGGTATTGACGTGCGCCGACAGTGATGGATCACGGGGCGCGGGGTTGGGCACGCGATGTGGGCGTGGCATGGACGCGCGCGCCGGTGGTAAGGCGCGCTCACACAAGCTGGGAAAAGAGGATCGTAGCGAGTGCGCAGTGATTGGTCAGATAAGTGGGTGCTCTCAGCGACGTCCGCAGGAGGGGTATAAAGGGAGACGCGCGAGAGCACTCGTGGTCAGTGTTAACCAGTTGAAGACCGAAGACGGGGTGGAGGAGGTAGTGGCCCGAGACCCCTAGTCCCGCCGTCCTTGTGGGGACCGGGGCCCTGTGTGGCTCGGAGCCGAGACTGGGGGACCGTAGTCCGACGCCCGTGTGGGTCGGGACGGTGGTACCCAGAGCCGAGACGGGCACCCCGGCTGGGTGTGTCCCGGAAGGCTACGGGGCGTAAGAGCCCGTGTCAGTACAGCTGAGTGGGTGTTGGTCACCCGTGTAGCTGAGTGGGTGTTGGTCACCCGGGTAGCTGAGTGGGTGTTGGTCACCCGTGTAGCTGAGTGGGTGTTAGTCACCCGTGTAGCTGAGTGGGTGTCCGTCACCCGTGTAGCTAAGTGGGTGTTAGTCACCCGTGTGACGAAGTAGGGTGTTAGTCATCCGTGTAACTACAAGTTGGTGAAAATAAAGAGTGTGCTACCCGTGAAGTCGTCTCCTGCCGAGTTACTACTTTACACAAGCAAGCGAACTTAATATAAAGGATTTAAAAATGTTTGTAATTAAAATGTTATTGCACCTCAAACGTGTACGTTTCATTGCTTATATAAAAGCTCACAGTTGGCGTGAAATCCCAAAGATGATTCCTCACCGGCCCCTTTAATCTCTGTCGGACCCGGCCCCCCAAAATGAGGATAATCGCACTGCAACTTGGGGGCCGCGTGTTTACAAACGCCTCGGCCGCTGTTGTGATTACTCCCAGTCCGTCACTGAATGGGGGGAGGGTTACACAAGCTACCTCTCCATCTCGCGTGTCTTTTCACCTCCCACCCCTCCCGCCAGGGTTTCGCGCTGAAGGCCGGAGCCTCCGATGAGTGGCTGCAGTCCGGCGTAGACGGGTGGTGGCTGCGCTACTCCCAAGATGTCGTGGTGGCGGCCACGTCGGTGAGCGGCGGGGGTCGCGTGAAGAGAGCCTGGGTCATCCCGCCCATCAGCGTCGCCGAGAACCTGCCCCAGCGCAGCCTCCCCAAGTTCCTGGTGCAGGTAAGGGGTGGAGGGGGGAGGGGGCGTTCGCTCACGGTTGGCTACGTACGGTGCGAAAGAAGTTAAATATACACAGACGGACAGGACGCTCACACAGAGACGCCCCTCGCTCAGGGCCCTCCTGTAGCGCTGGGATCGCGGCACTGGGCATCGCCGTGACGCTCCCACGCGGGAGGTGACCTCCCCGTAGTACCACACAGCGCGCCAAAGACAAAGATTCCCCCGAATAGCCTGAACAGACTGTTGGGGCAAGTGCTGTTAGCGAGCACCTGTGAAGACCGGCACGGCACACGAGGTGGTGGATGGCCAGCACCACGCCCTACCGCCTTTGATGATTTTACACACCGCACCAAGTACTCATTTAAGTGCTGAGTCGATCTAGAGGAGGGCCAGTACCGGTTCAAACAATCGTCACCGGTGGTGGCCGTGAGCGAGAATCGAACCCGGGCTCGTAGCGCCCCGACCGCCACACCACCGCTCCCCGACAGCAGCGCACCCAGCACACTGACAGACAGACGCACGCATGCGGCTCGTGAAACGCCGAGGTGTTACAGAGCGCCCACAGACAGGGCCGCAGAACGTGACGCACAGAGGCCGGCCGCGAGAAGTCGGCGAGAAAGCGTTCAGCTCGTGACGCGAGGGCGAGTCCGTAGACTGAGCGCGCGCCAGCTCTCCGATCGCGCTGCTCAACCCCGCCACCACCGTGGCGAACGCAGTCTGCACCCAGAGTCTAAGCAGCGGCTACAGCAGCAGCTGCAGAAGCAGCTACAGCAGCAGCTACAGCTGCAGCAGCAGCTACAGGAGCAGGCTGTGCGCAGAAGCTTCCCGCAGCTCTGGGTGTGCGAGTTCCTTCCTCACCGCGCTCGCGTCCGCGTGGTGCACGCAGATCAAGTCGGACAAGCAGGCGAACACCACCATCATCTACAGCGTCAAGGGCGTGGGCGTCGACCTGCCGCCCACGGGCGTGTTCCGCATCGACAAGGCGTCTGGCAACATCTACCTGGAGAAGCCGCTCGACCGCGAGGAGAGGCCGCAATTCCGCGTAAGTGAAGGCAGCGCCTCTCGTCCGCACCGTCCGTGTTCCAGCGCACGTCGCACCATCGTCAATCACGGTCATCGCATCGTCATCATCAATCGGAGCACGCGGCTCTAAATTAAATGATTAAACTAAACAATGTTTTTTTATTTTACCAGCTAAGGCCCACTGAGCTGTGTAGCTCTTTTTCAGAAGCGACCTGGCCACAAATGATAGCTCAACGAAGTGGCTTATCATCGTGTGGAAATTTAAAGCAGCCAAATACTCTAAACGCACGTTTATAAATGTGGAGGACCCACGGGGAGATAAGACACACAAACTCCAAATAATGCAGGTGTCAGGATCGGGATCCAACCGAGAACCTCCTGCACACCAGGCGAGGTAGATCTCCACACCGTGGCTCAGCAGTAGGGCGAGCGGCCCGCACTGCTACGAGTTCCATCCTGGTTGGCGGGCTGACTCAGCCCATCATCCGTCCGGGTGGTTTAAAATTCGTACCATCGTGTGGGGAAGGCTGACAGTGGTTGTATTTTGCATAGACAGATCACCGCGATGGGAATGTGAAATTTCCACGATTGGCTCTCTGCACATTTGAGCACGAAATCACGTTGACATCATCAGCAACATCATCATCATCATCATCCATGAGAGGGGGTGATGGCGCATGATGCACAGCTAACGTGCTCGGGGCCTTCGGAGTGTTCGGAGGAGTTTGGAGATCGCGCTGCGCGCTCATAGAACAGCAGCAGCAGCAGCTGGGACAGCAGCAGCAGCTGGGACAGCAGAAGCAGCAGCAGCAGCTGGGACAGCAGAAGCAGCAGCAGCAGCTGGGACAGCAGAAGCAGCTGGGACAGCAGAAGCAGCAACAGCAGCTGGGACAGCAGCAGCAGCTGGGACAGCAGAAGCAGCTGGGACAGCAGAAGCAGCAACAGCAGCTGGGACAGCAGCAGCAGCTGGGACAGCAGAAGCAGCAGCAGCTGGGACAGCAGCAACAGCTGGGACAGCAGAGAGCGCCCCTCCGTGCTGAGCGGCTGTGCGTGACGGTGCCGCCCAACGCGACGGCACCGGCCAGTGGCCGTGACTGAATCGATGCGCCAGGCGCTCGCGGTCATCGAGGGCAGGGGGGGTAGATGGGGGGGTAGATGGAGGGGGTAGATGGGGGGGGGTAGATGGAGGGGGTAGATGGAGGGGGTGGGGGCGGTTGGCTTAGAGAGGGTGGAGAGTGTCGCGCCAGACGTGCGGTGATCACCTTCGTGGCACGGGGGGGGGGGGGGGGGAGGTGGCAACCTCCCGTTTTGGTACCTCTATAAACGGGCACCGGCAGAGTCTGTTGCTACGCGGTTCTCCCGAGGGGCCCGAATTAGCCGGCGCGTTGATCTTCGTGACCTTGCGCCAGCCCCCACCAAAACACACGCGGCGCGCACCCTTGCAGGGAGACCACCACAAAACAAGACAAGAGGTCCCCCATGTAGCCTTCATCGACTGTCGGGCCAAGTGCTGTGAGCGAGCAGCGCCTAGGAAGGCCGGCACTGTGGCGCACGAGGGGGTGGGTGGCCAGCACCACGTTCCTGGTGCCGATGTTTACGCATCGCACCGAGTACTCGGTGGGGGAGGAGGCCCAGGACTGGGTGAGATATTCATCACTGGTGTTGGTGGCCGTGAGCGGGAAACGAACTTGGGTCCGCTGGGTTCGTAGCGCAGCGCACTAACCGCTGGGTTCGATCCCGACCTTGACGCTTGCTGTCTAATTGGAGTTTGCGTCTCTCTCTCTCCCCGTGGTCACGTGGATTTTTCTCCGGGTCCTCCGGTTTTACCCCTCCACATTTATAATCAACGTGAGTTTAGAGTACTTGGCTAATATAAATGTCCACATGATAAGCCACTTCGTTGAGCTATCATTTGTGGCAAGGTCGCTTCTGAAAAAGAGTTATCGAGCTCAGCGGGCCTCAGCTGGTATAAAGAAAACAGTTTAAAAATAGTTTTACGGAAGTCTCCAACTCTTTCCATCGACTATCTGGCCTATGAAGAAGGTCCATTGCCCGAAACGTCATCTATAGAGTGGGCCGCGCGCGCGTGCAGTGATTGACCGAAACTACTGCCGCGGTATTAACCAGGGCCGCCTTTCAGCATTCCAACTCGAACTTTTCCAGCGACAGGCAAACCCACCACTTGCCTCTGGGCCGTGCCACCGCCCGCCCTCTGCCAGCTTCACAGACTGCGCATTGAGTGTGAGGCCGGGAGGGCTCCAGGTATCCAGCGCTGTGCAGCTGCACGTGCAGCAGCCGGTGACGATGGTATGAGGACCGGCCCGGTGGAAGCAGTCTTCTCTGACAGCTGCATCTGTGTCTGCTTCTGACACCCCCTCGTCTCCCCCCCCACCTCGTCCCCCCCCCACCTCGTCCTACCCCCCTCGTCTCGCATCGCCTCTCACCTCACCTCCCTCTGATGCTCCCCTCGCCACGATGCTCCATTCCCGCGTAGAGAATGACGAACACAGGCACAGTAACAGTGTGTGTGCAGGGTGTGTGTAGTGCAGTAACAGTATGTGTGTGCAGGGTGTGTGTAGTGCAGTAATAGTGTGTGTGTGCAGGGTGTGTGTAGTGCAGTAACAGTGTGTGTGTGCAGGGTGTGTGTAGTGCAGTAACAGTGTGTGTGTGCAGGGTGTGTGTAGTGCAGTAATAGTGTGTGGGTGCAGGGTGTGTGTAGTGCAGTAACAGTATGTGTGTGCAGGATGTGTGTAGTGCAGTAACAGTGTGTGTGTGTGCAGGGTGTGTGTAGTGCTGTAATAGTGTGTGTGTGCAGGCTGTGTGTAGTGCAGTAATAGTGTGTGTGTGCAGGGTGTGTGTAGTGCAGTAACAGTGTGTGTGTGCAGGGTGTGTGTAGTGCAGTAACAGTGTGTGTGTGCAGGGTGTGTGTAGTGCAGTAATAGTGTGTGGGTGCAGGGTGTGTGTAGTGCAGTAACAGTATGTGTGTGCAGGGTGTGTGTAGTGCAGTAACAGTGTGTGTGTGTGCAGGGTGTGTGTAGTGCTGTAATAGTGTGTGTGTGCAGGCTGTGTGTAGTGCAGTAATAGTGTGTGGGTGCAGGCGGTGTGTAGTGCAGTAATAGTGTGTGTGTGCAGGGTGTGTGTGTGTAGTGCGGTGATGGTGCGCGTGTGTGTCCGTCCCCAGATCAAAGCGTACGCGCTGGACGCGGCGGGCAAGGCCGTGGAGGAAGCCGTGGACCTGGACATCATCGTGGTGGACATGAACGACAACCGTCCCGTCTTCAACAGCAGCGTCTTCGTGGGGCACGTCAAGGAGAACTCGGAACCCGGTGACTCCCTCCTCCCCCCTCGCCCGTTCCAAACTCGCCCTCTCTCAACTCGCCCGCTCACTCCCATTGCACTCACTCCCATCACACAAACTTACGTGACACTTAAATGCAAAAGCAGTGCAGCAACAAGGACGCCAGCGAGGCGTCTTAAAAATAAAAGCCCAGGAGCAAAGCAATGCAGATGACGAGACGGAGATACGAGCGCTTGGCGTGTGACTCGTGGAGGAGGAATATCCACGAAAGACTCAAACATCAATTAATCTGGGACATTTGGGAATGTTTGCAATAGTTCTCTTCCACGCATGGATTTGCGCGCGCGTGGGTATTCATTCGTCGAGGCGAGCTCGGTCTCGCCTGGTACGGTGGCGAGATGTTAACTACCTCGCCTGGTATACAGGAGGGTGGAGTAAGGAGATTGGAGGTTCGACCCCTACTCCCACGCCGGCATGTTTGGAATTTGCATGTCTCTCTCCCCGTAGTCGCGTAGATTTTTCTCCGGGTCCCCCGGGTTTTTCCCTCCACATTTAGAAACGTGCGTTTTAGAGTCTTTGGCTGCTGTAGATTTCCACGTGACGATAAGCCACTTCGTCGTGTTATTGTTTGCGGCCAGGTCACTTAAGAGAAAATGGATGTATAGCTCAGTGGGCTTTACCTGGTAAAATAAAAATAGTCGTTTAGGTGTAATCGTATTTTCGGGACGGAGCGTTACCGCCGCGGCATCTGCGCGATGCGCGCACCCCTCGCCATGTGGCCCAACACGAACCTCCTGGGGTCACGCGATGACGAGTCTCCGGCATGCGCCTGGTTGGCGCGCGAGGCACGTGCGGCGCGCACCCCATTCGCCACGGAGCAGCGGCGGCCCAGCGGCCCACACACGCGCAGACACACACAGGACACACACAGGACACACACAGGACACACACAGGCCCATCACGAGTTAAACATAGCAGGGGAGGCCACTGACAGCGCCGTGGGGGGGCTGGGAGGGTGCACGCATCAAGAACAGCAGCCGCGTGGCCAACTGTTCACGAGGCATTTCAATTATCTGTCCGCCTTTCGATTTGAAGCTTTCGTGACTGCAGGGATTCATCTTCTTGGTTCTTTCGGTAAAGTCACATAGAATGGAAATAATAAAATAATACATAAATAAAAGATTTTATTATGTTTTATTTTTATTATTTTATTATTTCCATTCTACGGGACTTTACCGAAAGAACCAAGAAGATATCTGTCCGCCGTGAAAGCGCGCCGTCTGCCGAGGGCTGCGGGGGTCAAAGTTGTGCTCCCGTTTTTAGTCAACATTTTATTTTTGTTCTTTCAAATTAACACATTTCACCGAGATTATCTCTCGGGCCGTGCCATCTCACAAGGGATTGTCGACGCAGGTGGAAATATGTTCGAGTTGATTGATTCATTAAGTATGGAAACGGGGACATTTTGGTTGCCTACCGAGGTGGAGGTGGCTGGGGTTGGGGCCGGGAGGAGCGGGGGGGGGGCACGTTGGGTCTGCCCACTGGGGACTAGCACCTCCAATTAGCACGGTTAGCTACGTATGGTACGAAAGAAATTCAACATGCATACAGTACATAGTGGGGAGACAAAAGCGGCCGGACGCAGCAACGGATGCGTCGCTGCGCCCGTGACGGTGCCCCCCCCCCCTCCGCTGTCCGGCTCGCCGCGCCCGCAGGGGCTCTCGTGATGCGCGTCGGCGCGTTCGACGCGGACGACCCCAACACGGACAACGGCGACCTGCGCTTCTCCATCTCGGACCAGTCCCCGGAGCAGCCCGAAGCCTCCATGTTCAGCATCGACCCCCACACGGGAGACATTCGCACCGTGACCGTCGGCCTCGACCGAGAGGTGAGAGGCCACCGCTCGCGCGAGTCCGCGTGGCGATGCGTCAACATCAGCGCCGGCACGTGGCGCTGGCCGCCCCACAGCCTTCGTGTGGCGTGTCGGCCTTCACTGGCGCTGCTGCGCGAACAGCGCTTGCCCCCAAGCAGGCTGCGTGTGTGTGGGGAGTGGCAGTGCAGCGGTTAGCGCGCTGCGCTCACGGCCACCAACACCAGTGACCATTATCTTAACCAGTGGGCCTCCTCCACTAGGTCAACTCAGCCTCAAATTAATACTTGGTGCGATGCGTAAATATCAGCACCGGGGCGTGGTGCTGGCCACCCACCCAGTCGTGTGCCGTGCCGGCCTTCATAGGCGCTGCTCGCTAGCAGCCCTTGCCCCAACAATCTGTTAAGGCTACACGGGTGATCTTTGTCTATGTGTGCTTCCGTAACATTCATGCTGTGTGCAGGATGCCGCTGAGAACATCATCTCATCGTCCCCACGTATGTCTGTGCGCGCGTTTACTTACACTCATTCACACGCATGTGCACACAAACACGCTCACTCGCGCACAAACACGCCGACACACACACGCTCAAACACACACACGCGCACACACGCTCACACACACGCTCACACACACGCACACACACGCTCACACACACGCGCACACACGCTCACACACACGCTCACACACACGCACACACACGCTCACACACACGCGCACACACGCTCACACACACGCTCACACACACACGCGCACACACACGCTCACCCCCAGGCGGTGGCGAGCTACAACCTGACCCTCCAGGTGTCGGACATGGCTGGGGGCCCCGCGGGCCTGGTCACCACGGCGACGGCCATCGTTCACGTGGACGACGTCAACGACAACGGCCCTCGGTTCACGCAGAGCTCGGTACCACCACGTGGCCTCAGCCTCCTCCTCCTCATCCTCCTCATCCCGCTGCTCACTGCACGCACACACAAAGACAAAGATCCTCCGCCCCGTATAGCCTTAGCAGACAGTTGGGGCAAGTGCTGTTAGCGAGCGCCTAATAGAAAATATTATTTAAAGGTATCTCGTTGGTGTTTGAACATCTTAATACCTGTTGTATTACCAGAAAGGGTACAAGCTCTACTTATTTTTTTTTCATGTTGATACCGGCAAAACGATCCCATAGAGATTCATTATTATTTTTTCATCCAAGGAAATCCACACTGAGTAAAATTACTTTTTTGTCAGGAGGGTCCTGCTGCTGCTGCTAGGACGTTGCGTTTTTATTTTCAGATGTTGTCAGCCGATGAGGCATGACTTGTGTTTATTATTATACACGTGGGTGGAGGAAACCAGAGCACCCTGAGAAAGCCCACTCCATGCGCGAGGTGGCAACGCCGCGCCCCCGTACAGATGGACTCAGGTGGCGATTAGTCCACTTGCAGTACTCGCCATACCGTATCAGCCAATTAATGGGCGAGTTTACGCGTGGGAGGAAACCGGAGGATCTAGAGAAAACCCCACGCTTGCGAGGGGGCAACACTATATCCCCGTACAGACGAAGCAGGTGAGTTCCACTTCATTGCTGTACCGCCTTCTCCTGGCAGAGCGAGTGTAGAGACACCTTCTCGATGCCCACGTGGGAGGGAGTTTCGCAACCTGTGTGAGTGGTGATCCACCAACCATCGCTGCTGCCTCCACAGCGCCGGCTCACAGACGGCCACGTGCAGCAGCGGAGCCACCACCTTCTCAGCACGGCTCCCATGCCGACGCCGCTGTGTGCTTCTGCAGAGGGGAAGCGGCAGTGAGCGTGGGGCTGCGGGACCAATGGCTTTCGTAGCGGGACTCCAACTCATTCTCAGAGCGAGCAGCGATTGCCGTGCATGGCAGTGAGGAGCTCGCATTTGGCTCCAATTCCAAATGGCTCACATGGCGGAGCCTACACAGGCTCAGATTGGGTTGCGGCAGACGCAACTCACTCGTGAAATCAACCGAACAATGGTCCTTGTCAGGAGAAACAAACCACGTGGGTCATCTCCTGAGATGCCCCGCAGCGCCATAATGCACCACTCCTCAATATGTGGCAATGCCAACACCAGAAGCGGTGGCCTGTGCAAACATGTTGAGAAAAGACCCGTGGAGGTTGGACAGGGAACACGACGAAGAAGATCGCGTGTGTGTGTATGGGAGGAGCGGTGGAGCATCAGTTGGCGCGCTGAGCTTCGAACCCGGTCACCCGAGTTCGATTCCCGCTCACGGCCAACACCGGTGGCGATAATTTGAACCGATCTTGGGCCTCCCCTAGGTCGACTCAGCCTCAAATGAGTACCTGGTGCGGTGTGTAAACATCGCCACTCGGGAGACAAAGGCGGCCGGGCGTGGCGCCGACCACCCACCCCTCTCGCATGTGACGTGCCAACTTTCATAGGCGCTGCTACTTTCCAACGGCCCTTGCCCCAACAGTCTGTTGAGGCTACACGGTGGGGGGGGGGATCTTTGTCTGTGTAGTTCATGGCGGTGGTGGGCGAGGGGGACGTGGGCCGCGCCGCGGTGCTCGCCGTGCGCGACGCGGACGTGCCCGGCACGCCGGCGTGGCGCGCCCGCTACCGCATCGCGGCCGGGGACTCGGGCGGCCTCTTCACCGTGGACACCGACCCCGAGACCAACGCCGGCATCCTCACCATCACTCAGGTGACGCCACCGCCACCACCACCACCACTACCGCCACCACCGCCACTACCACCACCACTACCATCACTCAGGTGCCGCCACCACCACCACCACCACTACCGCCACTTCCACCACCACAACCACCACCACCACCACCGCCACTTCCACCACCACCACTCCCACCACTACCACCACTACCACCACCACCACCACTACCACCACCACTACCATCACTCAGGTGCCGCCACCGCCACAACCACCACCACCACTACCACCACTACCGCCGCTACCACCACCGCCGTCACCACCACTACCACCACTACCACCACTACCGCCACCACTGCCGCCACTACCACCACCACTACCACCACGACTACCACGACTACCACCACTACCACCACTACCACCACCACCACAACCGCCACTACTACCATCACTACCACCACTACCGCCACCACCACCGCCACTACCACCGCCACCACCACCACCGCCACTATGAGCTTTGATTACAGCACGGTTGGCTATGTACTGTGCGAAAGAAGTTTAATATACTGTACATACAAAGACAATCATCGATGTGATGATAATTATAAGTTTATGTATTTCTCCAGGAGAGCCACGCTCTTCATGAGGCTCCTGCATTGGGTTCTCATTTTAAGGAAACTGGAGCACTGGAGAAAATCCACGCAAGCGAGGGGTCAACGCTCTAGCCCTGCACAGATTGAGATTTATTTATTCTTATTTGGATTTGATTTACTTCAGCAGCTGGGCTTTGTTCCATGGACACTCTGCGACGGCGCAGATGTTATAGAGAGCTTAGTTACAATCAGATGGAAACAGGTGGGAGCAGGCGATTAGTTTGCACTTATCTGTGCCGCCTTCTCCTGGCGAGCATCTCCTTGACGCCCACGGGAAGGAGTTTCACAGCCCATCCGTGTGTGAGCCAGCAACCCTCGCTGCTGCTGCTGCTGCTTCCACAGCGCTGGGCTAGCACAGGCAGTCGCGTGCTGCAGCGTAGCCACCACCGCCCGGCCAGCGACGTATCACTATCTCAGGCTGAAACGTATTAAATCATTATTCCTGTAGAGTGTGTAGTGTTGTGTGTCTGCGTGTCGTCTTTGTGGTTGGCCAGGACTTCAATACAGCACAGGGGAGACGAGGGAATAGCCTAACGGGGCTTTGGTTCACTCGTGAGACGCAAGTTTATCCAGACGTTTGGAAAGTTTGAAATGCACTAGAGGAAGGATGTGGGGCAGCGTGTGTGAAATATAAAGTAGCAGTCAAATATACCACGAGTCCATCATCGCCAGCATCATCAACAACTCAGCGTTCGTTCATCCGTCCGTCACCGCGACACCGTTCACGTGCGTGCGGTGGACACCCCCCCCCCCCCCCCCCGTCTGCGCCGACAGCCGCTGGACTACGAGACGAGCACGCGCTACGTGCTCACGGTGGTCGCCGAGAACGAAGCGCCGCTGGAGACGGCCGCTGCCGTCGGGGACCAGGAGGAGGGGGCGGCCGGGGGGGCGTCGGCGTCGGCGGCGACGGTCACCGTCTACGTGCAGGACCGCAACGAGGCGCCCGCCTTCCCCGAGAGCCCGCGCCGCGTGGCGCTCGGGGAGCACACGCGGCGCGGCGACGCCGTCGCGCGCTACGCGGTCACCGACCCCGACCACATCGCCAACCAGAAGATCACGTGAGCGCCCGCACGCACGCAGATGATAGGTTCCCCGCCCGCCCTTGCCCCATCCACCCCGGCGTAGCCTGTGACAGGCTGTCGGGGCTAAGTGCTGGCGGCGGGCAGCGCCTACGAAGGCCGGCACTGAGTGGCGTACGAAGGGGGTGGGTGGTCAGCACCACGTCCCCGGTGCCGATGCTTTCTACACACCGCAACCGCGTACTCATTTGAGGCTGAGTCGACCTAGGGAAGGAGGTCCAGGGCCGGTTGAGATAGTCGTCACTGGTGTTTTTTGGCCGTGAGCGGGAATCGAACTCGGGTCGCTGGGTTCGTAGTGCAACGCGCGAACCGCTGCACCAAATACAACGATCCACAGTTTATCCTGAACAGACTGTAGGGGCAAGTGCTGTTAGCGAGCACCTATGAAGGCCGGCACGGCACACACGAGGGAGTGGGTGGCCAGCACCACGACCGACCGCCTTTGTCTCCCCAGTGGCGATGTTTACACACAGCAATAGGTATTATTTTGAGGCTGAGTCGACCTAGGGGAGGCCCAGGACCGGATCGAATAATCGTCACTGGTGTTGGCCGTGAGTGGGAATCATTTAAGGTTGAGTCGACCTAGGGGAGGACCTATTTTTTCATGGGTTTTATATGCCGCTTTTCATTGGTCGCGAGCGAGAATCGAATTCGGATCGCCGGTTTCGTGGCACAGTGCGCTAATCAATGCTCCACCGCTCCCCACGCACACACATGCTCTACATATGCACAAAGTGTGTTATATATGGTACACGTAAGCACACATACTTTACGCACACACGTACATAAGCTTCCTGTGACAAAACGTTGGCGGAGAACACATTTCTTAAAATACTCTTCACATACAAATTTTGTTATGGAAACGCTACATTTTAAACGTAGGCTTCCACAACCAAAATTATGATTCATAATTAAATGTGGGTTCAATCATCGCGTAGCTACAGTGCCAATGTTCAGCTGTATCCTGGAGGGATGTTGAAAAGCAAGCAACATTGCCCACTTGACCACGTGATTTGATTGGATCTGTCGCTGGGTGGCGGCGATTATAACTGAACATTGGCATTATTATTGTAGTATTATTATTGTACCCACATGACGATCCAACCCACAGGAAACTAACTATGAATCTGAAACAGTAAATTCGGTTCACGGCAATGACTGCGCAAGCGTGTGGACAGACGGGGATGTGCGTGTCGCGGGTAGCGCTACGCTGCGCTACGAACCCGGCGACCCGAGTTTGATTCCCGCTCACGGCCAACACCGGTGACGATTATCTGAACCGGTCCCTGAGCTTCCCCTAGGTCGACTCAGCCTCAAATGAGTCCCTTGTTATGGTGTATACAAAATATCGCCACTGGGGAGATGAATGTGGTCGGTCGTGGTGTTGGCCACCCACCCCTTCACGCGTGACGTGTCGGCCTTCATAGGCGCTCCTCGCAAACGGCACTTGCCCCAACAGTCTGCTAAGGCTACACGGGGGATCTTTGTGTTTGTGGCCCGCACCACCCGACGGCGCTGCAGCTACACGGTGACGTGGGACCCGGCGGGCTGGCTGGACGTGGACGTGGACACGGGCGACATCACCGCCAAGCGGGACTTCGACAAGATGTCGGGATTCCTGGAGGGAGGCGTGTACTCCGCTGTGATCATGGCAGAGGACGATGGTGAGTGGCACACACAAAGACAAAGATGCCCCCCCCCTGTATAGCCTTAACAGACTTTTGGGTCAAGTGTTGTTAGCAAGCAGCAGCGCCTATGCAGGCCAGACCGGCACACAAAGGGGTGGGTGGCCAGCACCACGCCCGGCCGCCTTTGTCTCCCCAGTGGCGATATTTTCACACCACACAAGATACTAATTTTGAGGCTGAGATCGACCATAAATGGTTCAGATAATCGTCACTGGTTTTGGTGGCCGCGAGCGGGAATCGAGGTTCGTTGCGCAGTGCGTCAACCGCTGCACTCCAGCTCCGCATGCAAAGATACCCCGTATAGCCTTCACAGACTGTTGGGGCAAGTGCTGTTCGCGAGCGCCTCCGCATACATACATACAAAAACAAAGATCCCCCGTATCGCCTTAACAGACTGTTGGGGCAAGTGCTGATCGCGAGCGCCTCCGCATACATATATAGAAAGACAACGATCGCGTGCTTGTTCTGGTGCTCGCTAACAGCACTTGACCAACAGTCTGCTAAGGCTGTTCGGGGGCATCTTTGTATTTGCACACACACACATGGAGAGACACGCGCACGCACGATCTTGTTGGACGTGAGAACATCTCCGCCTGCGCCACGCCGTGCGCTATCACCCCCCCTCCCCCTGGTGACGCCGCCGCTGCCCGGCGCGCTCTGTCCCCGCGGCGGCGCAGGCATCCCGCCGCACACGGCCACGGGCACGCTGCACGTGACGCTGCTGGAGCAGAACGACTTCGCGCCCGCGCTGTCCCCGCGCGCCGGCGTGCTGTGCCACGAGCGGGCCAAGGGCGAGGGGCTGCTGCTGCAGGGCTGGGACGCAGACCTGGCGCCACAGGCCGCACCCTTCCACTTCGCCTTTCACCCGGACTTCCCCGAGTTCGCCGACAACTTCACCATCACGCCCGTCAACGGTGGGGTGCCGACGCCGGGCTCGCGCCACCGCGATCCGAAACCGCGAAAGGCAGCGGGGTTGTGGGAGATGGCACAAATACAACTGAAATAATATTTGTTTTTCTCTCCGCCTGATGACGGCCGCTTGTGTTGCGATCAAAATGTCATCAGTTTTTTAAATTTTATTTTATTTTCTATCTACGCGATTTTACCGAAAAAAAGAATATGAATTCCTGCAGTCACGAAAGTTTAAAGTCTAAATTTTACAACTGAAAAAGCTAAACAACTTTATTTTTATTTTACCAGGTAAGGCCCACTACTCAGCCACGTAGCTCTGTTTTTTAAGAAGCGACCTGGCGCTGGCAAATGATAGCCCAACTTAGTAATGAGCTTACCTCGTGGGAAATTACAGCTGCCAAATACACTAAACGCACGTTGATTCTCAACTTGAAAAGGAAAAACCGGAGGACTAGGAGAAAAATCCACACGACCACGGGGTAAAGACATGCAAACTCCAAATATACAGCAGCAGGCGTCAGGGTCGGGATCGAACCCTCGACGTCCTGTATACCAGGCGAGGTCGTTAACATCTCCCAGCCACCGTGAGGATGATGAGAGAGACACGCAAACTCCAAATATACAGCAGCAGGCGTCAGCGTCGGGATCGAACCCGCGACGTCCTGTATACCAGGCGAGGTCGTTAACATCGCCCAGCCACCGTGAGGATGATGAGAGAGACACGCAAACTCCAAATATACAGCAGCAGGCGTCAGCGTCGGGATCGAACCCGCGACGTCCTGTATACCAGGCGAGGTCGTTAACATCTCTACATCACGATGCTCCCTCCCTGCTCGATGTCTGTCACCGTTTCCTGGCTCGTGCATGGCTCAGACTGCAAGTGGATTCATTTCCATCTGTACGGGGGATTGAGTGTAATTTCACCTGCCTCGAACACGTGCTGTTTAATCCCGCTATTCCGGCTTCCTGTCCCCACGTGCAGCTGTAAGCACTCACGAACAGAGATGGCCAAACGTCCCAAAATAGGGAGACCCGGCGGTAGCGCCACGCCCTGTTGCAGAGGTTCACGGTTCGGATCCAGCGGCCGCCCTGGTTAATACTGCGGCTGAGAGTATTAACTATTTTAATAATAATACTAATAATACTACGCGCTGTCTGAGTATTATTATTATTCGCAAGAGTTGTCCGTTTTGTTTCGGCGTCACAGACCAGTCAATTAAACAACAACAACAAAAACGATCCGCAGACACTGTGCATGTTGATTCTCAATGTGGAGGGAAAAACCGGAGGACCCGGAGCAAAATCCACGCGACCAAAAGGGAGACCATGGAGACTCCACACACACAGCAGGCGTCAGGGTCGGGAATGAACCCACAACCCCCTGTATACTAGGCGATGGAGTTAACATCTCGCCACCGCGGCTCCCCTTGTATACATGCAGGACAACTCGCGAAAAAGAGTCATGAGACTGGGCGAGGCTTTCCTGGGTAAACGAGCGGAACGGTGACGATGATCGCGATGATGGCGATGATTCGAAGACCGCCTTGTGACACCGGTGCTGGATCCCTTCGTACATCCGTGCGAAAACATTTGCTCATTTTGGCGCTGTAATTGTCATGAATGACACCGCATAAAATAATAACATTGTTATTATTACGTAGGAGATGGAGAGGTGGCAGAGTGGTCAGTGTACTGCAGTGTGAACACGGGGTCCTGTGGGTGATTGTGTCTGCGTGTTGCGTCTGTGGGTGGCTGTGCTGCCCGTGGGTGGTTATGTCTGTGGGTGGCTGCGTCGTCTCCCCTGACAAGTGGTTGCGTCTGGGTGGCTGCGCCCGTGGGTGGCCGCGCCACCGCGTCGTGTCCGCACAGGCACCCACGCGCTGCTGCAGCTGCGGGTGGAGCAGGTGAGGGAGGGCGACTACGAGCTGCCGCTCGTCCTCTCCGACTCGGGCTCGCCCGCCCTGGCCGACTCGCCGACACTCAACCTCACCGTGTGCACCTGCGACGCGTTCGGCGACTGCGTGGTCAAGGCCTTCATCGTGGGGGGGCCGGCCATGGGCCTCAGCACCCCCGCCATCCTCGCCATCATTTTCTCCATCATCGCCCTGCTGCGTGAGTTTGCAGCCTCGATTGTTGACGAACAACCTCCACTCAGACCGCCCTGGGGGCTGGGGGGCTGGGGGGGGGGCGGCCGGGGTGGAGGTGAGACACGGTGGCCCACAGGTAGCCGCAGTCACCCCGCTTGTTGTTGCAGAGGTTCGAATCCGGCAGGCGGCCCTGGTTAACACTGCACTGTGTGTGTTAACCGTGCAATACGTCACCCTCCACGGTGGTGGGTGTCCAAAGATAGTGTGACGTCATTCGACGAGGACGAGGCCCCTGTGTGCCGCCTCCACCGTCCAGATGTACTGAGTCGGGAAGCGACAGCAGAGCGTCGTCTCCCCGCTTGCCGTGGACATTCAGCAGCACCCTGCTGACGAGGAAGCTCGAATCGTCGCGTAGGCTGCCCTGGGCAACAGTAAAACAGTGAGGCATTTACGAGCCGCGCTTGTGATTCTGTTGTTTCGTTCCGATGATCTCGCCGCATCTGCGCGTGCCGCGTGCCGCGCGCCCACTTCGTGTCACCGCCCCGCTCGCCCCTGCGCAGTGCTCGTGCTCTGCATATTCATTGTGGACGGCCTCCGGGACCGGCTGCCCCTGGGCAAGAGCCGTCTCTTCGGAGCGTCGGACGATGACATCCGCGACAACATCCTCAATTACAACGAGCAGGGCGGAGGCGAGGAGGACCAGGTGAGCGCGGGGAGGGGTTGGTGACGCACGAGAGGAAGGGAGGCAGCGGAACAGAGGGATGGGATGAGGGGGGGGGCATTGCAAGGTTCACAGGGGGCATTGTCTCTCTTTAGTCGCGCCCTCTGCACGCGTCATCCCTGAGGGTGAAGGAGCCGTGAAACGCCCATCGCGTGTCTACGAGCCTCGACCGGCAGACCGCTGCACTTGTGCGAAACTCGGAAGCGCTGACCCCGACCCTGACCCCGACCCTGACCCCGACCCCGACCCTGACCCTGACCCCGACCCTGACCCTGACCCCGACCCTGACCCCGACCCCGACCCTGACCTTGACCCGCCAGGACGCGTTTGACGTGGACCAGCTGCGCAACCCGGACGCGGTGGCCCCGGACGCCCCCATGCCGGGGCAACCGCGTCAGCGCAAGGACACCCCGAGCACGGCGCCCCCGCCGCAGCACCCACGGCGGCCGCCCTCCGACCCCTCGGACATGGAGGACTTCATCAACCAGGTGACTGCCAGCCTCCCTCGTCGTCATCATCATCATCATCACCGTCTTTGAGATCTTCAAGGACTTCCCCTGCCTCCCTCTTCCCTCTCGTCTCACTCTACTCCCCTCCACGCACTCTCCTACCTCTCATCTCACTCTACTCCCCTCCACCCACTCTCCTACCTCTCATCCCACTCTACTCCCTTCCACACACTCTCATCTTCTCATCTCACTCTACTCCCCTCCACGCACTCTCCTACCTCTCATCTCACTCTACTCACCTCCACACACTCTCCTACCTCTCATCTCACTCTACTCCCCGCCACGCACTCTCCTACCTCTCATCTCACTCTACTCCCCTCCACGCACTCTCCTACCTCTCTCATCTCACTCTACTCCCCTCCACACACTCTCCTACCTCTCATCTCACTCTACTCACCTCCACGCACTCTCCTACCTCTCATCTCACTCTACTCACCTCCAATCACGCTCCTACCTCTCCCCTCTGATCTCACTCTCCTCCCCTCTGTGTAAATCCTCCCAATGGGAGGCTGCTCCTTCTCTGCTGCTAACGTCCCGAGCGTGTGGAGCCCTGTGCCCCACACATCAATGCTGCCGCTCCCCCCCTCTCCCCCGTTTCATTTTAAGTGCAGGCTCCACACTAATCCCTTCTCCGCGTCTTCCCGTGACCATCATCTCTCGCGTGTATTTTGGCCAAGTGTGCATCTCCCCGCTTTCCCAATTTTTGTACTGCGTCTCGTGGTCTGTTGTGCTTTACAAATCTGTAAAAAAAAACGAGTTTTGACTAAGGGAGAAATATGTGGTATTGCGGTCAATATTCAAGTTTTATTTGTTTAACGAACTGAGAGCTTTAGAAAACAGAATAGAGTCTCATGCATGAGTGACCACGATCACCAAAATTACGTAAACACAAAGTATAGCAATGAACCAAATAGAGATCAGGGTAGCAAACTACCAAATATAAATCAGCACAAAAGCAACTGCGTTACAGAAGACATTAAAAAACAGTGGACAAGCATGCATCAATTTAGAGTTAATTTATTTTCTTATCACGAAATTCAGATTGGATAAATTACTTTTGAAAGTCATTCATAACTTTTTTAACTGCCATATTACATTTACATAAACATCAACATGGGTCCCCGGTGATGACTGCCCTTCGTGTGTAAACAGACGAGTCACGGCCCGTAATCGGCGCGGCCAAACATACCCGGCCAGATGGCTCAGCGGTAGAGCGAGTGGCTCGCAGTCAGAAGTGTCCGAGTTCAAATCTTGGTCGAGGGGTTGACTCAAGCCATCAGCTCTCCGGCACTAATTTGTGGCGAAGCGGACTGTCGCTGTCCTACGGGTAGAATTGCCCAGCACCACAGGAAGCACCAGCTCAGCACTGTGGCACCTGGAGCCCTCACGACCTCACACTGAACACGCTGTCTGTGATGCTGGCAGAGGACGGGGCGGGTGGCACGGTCACGAGAAAAGAGTAAACGCATTAAAACTATGAACTATTAAAACTATGATTTATTTTATTTCATTTTACCAGGTAAGGCCCACTGAGCTATATAGCTCTTTTTCGGAAACGACCTGGCCACAAATGATAGCTCAACGAAGTGGCTTATCACGTGGACATTTATTGCAGCCAAATACTCTAAACGCACGTTGTTTCTAAATGTGGAGAGAAAAACAGGAGTCAGGGTCAGGATCGAACCCACGACCTCCTGCATACCAGGCGAGGTAGTTAACATCTGGCGACCGCCGCACCTGTGAAATGACACCGCCTCGATGCTCAGTCGAGCGGGAGACGCCTTGACGCGGAGGTTTTAACGTCTCCAGAGCCTGGACACGGCAGACGGGGACCCCACGGCGCCCCCCTACGACTCGTACCTCCTCTACGACTACGAGGGAGAGGGCTCGACGGCCGGCTCGCTCAGCTCACTGCAGTCGTCCTCCACCAACGGGGACCAGGACTACGACCACCTGTCCGACTGGGGGCCTCGCTTCAACAAGCTCGCCGACATGTACTCCGGCGGCCAGGACTGAGCGGGCCCGTGAGCACCCCCCGCTCACGGGGGTTGGGGGGTGGGGGCTCACAGCCAACATTTTGACACTAGATAAGGTTTCGCCGCTGTCATTACGTCACGTCCATATTGTCGTGAGCTCTTGTTGTCTATCTGCGTGGACATCGTAAAGGCGCCAGCGATCAGAATATCCCATCGTGACTTCAACTGGGATCACGCGCTCCTGACAATGTGGCCACTCTTGCCGAATCTGTCCGTCGTGACGGTTCGTCCAACCGCAGTGCAGATGATCGTTTTCGTGTGTAATTTACCCAGCGCTTGCAGGGAGCCTTTTTTCAGTGGTCATTGGGCGTATTGCCATGCCTCACACCGACTCACGACCGCACGCGAACCGGACACAACAGCGCACGGCACACCGAGCAGCGGAGACGCAGCGCGGCAGACGCTCGGCAAAATCCTCGGCAGATGCTTCATTTTACAAGACGGCCGTCCCGGACTGTTTTACGTGGCTTTTTCTCTTACAGTGCATTCATTTCCCTCGTTAATGCCAGAGGTGTGGGCATCCAGGAGAGTTCTGCGGCGTGGGTGGCATCACAAGAGGGGAGTACACCAGGGCCCTGGGGAGCTTACTCTCACAACGGAAGGGAACACTGCCTGACCTGGCAGGCAAGGGTCTCAGGGGGAGGAGGGGGGGCGCTAACCGGGGGGACGTGTGTGCATCATATTAATTTAGGTTAGAAACTTTTGTATATATATCACATTGCAGTCACGTGTCCACTTTGCAAAAGTGTGATCATTTCACCCAACGTGACAATGTGATGCGTGTGATGTTCACCAAGTGCAGTATCCGCCCAGCACCGCATTGCCGTGGGCGCAGAGGCGCCCCCCCGTATTTGACATTTTGTTGTGCAACGGTGACATGGCAGTCACGTGCGACAGCAGACGGCTACCGTATTAATATTTTACAGGCATGTATTTTCCACTTTCGGACGAACTCTTTAACGCGTAACACGATGCCGGGAGGTGCAGGGCAGCTCAGGACAGCCACACGCACTTAAAACCTGCAGTCGTGCGGCGCTGTCCCAATATCACTCGTGGACACATCCACCCCGGTGGTGCCAAGTCCTCAAAGGAGAAAATAAGCTGACAAACAAACCTCGAAAAAGTCGCCAGAAGCCACTCGCTGGAACCTCCAGGCACCAAAGATGTCACTATCAAATTGATTACAGTCGACTGATCCGGAATTCGTAGAACTTAGCGGGCATCGCCGCTGCGTCCATCCGTTGTTCTCCCAGGTTGGCTCGAAGTGTCGGGTGTTCGTTTTGACATTTTGTTGCGACAGAAACCCAACAGAGTCTCCGCCACGTGTAGCGGTCAAGTCGCCGAGTTGGCGACGCGGAGCCAGGTTCACCCCCCGTCTTTTTGAGCAGGGAAATTGAGTCTTCAGGTCCATACGGCGTACAGCCGTTTCAATACGGGCAAAAAAAATTGTCTATTTGTTTGTGTTTCTCCCTTGTGATGGGACTTTGTAGGATGAACGTCGAGATTTATAAGGGCACGGGTGACCAATAAGGCCCGAATGAGTCTTTAATACGGTAGGCGCTGATAAGGGGTTGACGGGTTTACAGTAGGTGGCGGCTCAGTTGACATAACTTTATGAAAGTCCATCCCTACAGCACTCATGAGATTCGTTTTTCTCCGTTGACATTGCGGCTTGTGAGCATCCTATCATATTCTTGTGCAACTATAACATGCAAGCATGGGGATCTCGAAAACTATAATGGAATAATAACTCTGTTGTCATCTGCTATCACTTTGTGATGGGCCATATACTATATCTGTGATTGGCCAAATACTATTATCTGTGCTAGGACATACACTGTATCTATGATGGGACATATACTATATCTGTGTTGGGTCATATTCTATATCTGTGTTGGGCCATACACTATTATCTGTTGCAGCTTTACCAAAGTAGCTTTACGCTTTATTTCTGTATTATGGATGCACATTAAAATGGCAAAATGTTACAAAAATAACGATAATCGCATTGTGTAATGTGTCTAGTCTCCACGACTGAGTTTATATCGAGCTTTAGCATTGCATCTCTCTCGTGGAATCCACATAGTATCGGATTGGTGAAACGTTGAATGATTCTAATGGCGTGTCGGGTGTGTGTTTTTTTGGGCGGGAGCGGGGTCGGCGCTGGAGGAGCAGACGTCAAACGTTCCGTCTCCCCGGCAGCCGCGGCCCCTCGACACGCTCACCTGCTGCGGGCCTCTGTGATGATGTGACGATTGCTCAATGCTTAATAAACGGAGGAGTTTTCCCCCTGTGTCCGCGAGCTCTCGCCAACGTATGCGTTACACGGCGTTTTGAAAGTTAATGCACATAGCCATACACACGGGGCTCCATTTCTCAAAGAATATCTTCCGCAACAAAATACATTAAAATATTTAAACTAAACAATTTTTTTATTTAATCAGGTAAGGTCCACTGAGCGATACAGTAGAGCTCTTTTTCAGAAACGAGCTGGCTATCACAAATTATAGCTCAACGAAATGGCTTATCGCGTGGAAATTTATAGCAGCCAAATACTCTAAATGCCCGTTGATTCTAAATGCGGAGGGAAAAACAGGAGGACCCGGAGAAAAATCCACGCGACCACTGGGAGAAAGCGCAAACTCCAAATATACAGGGACCAGGGTCGGGATCGAAGCAGACGACCTTCTGTATACCAGGCGAGGTAGTTAACATCTCGCTACTGCGGCGCCCCGTCTATCTGTTGCAGCTTTACCAAAGTAGCTTCATGCTTTATTTCTGTATTATGGATGCAAATAAGCAGGATATTCGCCACCTTCAAATATGTCCCCACACAAAACAAAATATATCTTTTAACACATCCCATCAGCCACACACCGTCTTCTGGGAGTGCAGAGTTACATCATCATTTGTTCAACACACAAGCAAAACTCTGAGCCGGATTCGATATTTCAACGTCTCATCAGCAGTCAGGCTGCTCGTTTTAACCAATTCTGTTGAACTGCCAGATGTTTATAGGCGAGAACCCTTGGTTAAATACGAGTCCCAGTTCGATACCAATCTCTGTCACGCGTGACCTCGGGTACTGGCACGTGATTGCAGCCACAGCCTTGAGAGAGGCATACAGGGGCTGCTCTACTTACGAACGAGTTAGGTTCCAGAGGTCTGTTCATAAGTCGATTTGTTCACATTACTCCTGTCGATTCCATAACATGTTGAACGGCATGCACACTAAAGACGTGGAATGGCTTTAAAAGTTGTATAATCTCCTGTAGATACCACTGGTTCTTCACGGTCTGCAGATGTAGACGCCACTGGTTCTTTACGTTCTGCAGATGCCGATGACACCACCGCCATCGATTGCGCGGCGGTTGAACTTACGATTCTCGATCCGAACAGGCAACTGGACGTACGGGACAGGTTTGTTCGTATCTCTGAAAGTTCGTAAGTCGAATGTTCGTAAGTAAAGGAGTCCCTGCACTGGACGTGTGGTGCGGGGAGCAGAAATCTACTGGATGATGCGGGTTCGTGGGGATTACTTGACCATACTTCACCACGCCGGTCCACGCCGGGTCTGTAGAGGGAGCAACAGCACAATGCTTTATTTTCCTGCTGACAACCAAGTTGCCCGTTGTGGTCTGAGTGCGTTACTGACTGGCCCGGAAATGCAGTTACCCGTTGTGGTCTGAGTTACTCGTGGTAGTCACCACCTATGTCGTTATCCCGCACGTCTACGCAGTTACCCTATTGGGGTGTTAGAATAAACGTTTTGCCTCCCAGTTCAAGTGTGTGCCTCCGTGGAACCCACGACATTTGCACCAGCTGTACCCCCTACTATGCCAACTCGCTGGATTTTAGCCGCCCGGCGCCCCGCTCGTTGTTGTGAGAGTCGCTCCTCCGCTCTCCGTTGTTGCTGGAGGGCGACTGCCTCCAACTGCCCAGTAGCGTCCTTCACGAGCCTCCTCCCCAGAGGTCGATCTTGACACCGCTGGTACCAGTCGTGGAAAAGTCCACTCAGCTCCACATCCTCCCGTACCGCATCAGTCCATCTCTTCTCCAGCTCATGTTGTGCCCGTTTAGCCCCCTCCATGCGGCAAAACAAGCTGCTTGGGCATGCGGTGGCTGAGCATGCGGGCTACATGACCCAGGCAGCGCAGCCTTGCTTGCCGGAAGAGCTCACTGATTGAAATGTGTCCAGATCTTTCAAGGATTTGTGGGCTCCTCACACAATCCAACCTGGTTAAACCCAGGATGGATCGTAGGCATGCCAGTCTGAATGTTTCTAACCGGCGCAGATGTTCCATTAAGGGGGGTCCACGTTTCACAAGCATAGAGAAGGGAGGGCATGACTGATTCGGAGTAAGGCCTCTGCTGTCAAACCGGAGCTGGTCATAAGCACACTGCCCAGGTATGGGAAACTCTCCACAACTGCTCCATCACCAATAGGGAGCTGAGGGGGTGGAGTGTTTGGTGGCACAAAATACCCAGGCAGGTGATTCGTTTTAGTGGGGCTGATGATAATACCCCCTCGTAGTGGCACACTCCAGGCTCAGCAGCAGCGCCTCTAACTCCTCCTCCTCGGAGTGAGCAACAATCCCCAGGATACGTAACATGGTTGGCCAAATAGGGAGCCATCCCTCGACCGCACCCGGGTATGGATCTGCCTCCCGTTGTATCTGTACCAGATGGAAATTCCTCCGGTACAGCCATCGAAAGCTTCTCGAACTACGTGGTCAAATATGGTGTTAAATAATGTGGGAGCCAGAGGACATCCCTGTCGTACCCCAAGGTGAACAGAGAATGGCTCCGACTCCTGGCCACATAGCTTTACCTGGGCCTGCCCATCATAACGAAGGCCCTTAATGATCGTGAGCAGAGTCAGGGACTCCGAAAGCACGAAGAACTGGCCACAGCCCCGGGCTGTTGATGGTATCATAGACCTTGACCAGGTCAATAAAACCATCAATGCTGGGCCTTATACAGACGTCGTAAGCGTGTGTCGCAAATTGGACCGCCGTAAACCGGCTGTAATGTGTCCCAAACATTAAGTCGACTTTTTACTGACATTTAATAACGCTTCAAATCAAGACTTAATTAAATAGTAATGTTTCACATGTTATGCGCTCAAAAATAGTAATTTTGTCATTTTTCGTACACTTTACACTCCTATAGTTTTTTTCGTTGTAACATGACCTGCACCTACTGGACATCTGTAACAAAAAGAGCTTCAAAGCTCATCGAATTTCTCCGAGATAAATTTAAAAGATATCCAAGTTCTCTCACTGCGGTGACGTCACGTCCACAAGCGTTTCGCATGACGCAATGGAGCGCGCTCGAGGACATGACGTCACGCACTCAGCTCTTCGCGTGACGTCACGGGGTCCGCGCGCGCTGCATCGCATTCCAGGGCTCGCGCGTGCGCGTGCGCCCTGCTCCCTCGCGACCAATCGCGCGCGCTCTTACTCAGCGCAGGGTCGGTTGCCCCTCCCCCCAATCCCGCTCTCGGCCAATCGCGTGGCGCGTTGCTGGTGTCTCGAGACTCGCGCAGAGGCGTCGGTAGAGGAGGCAGCGGAGCTCACGAAGCGGGGAGACGCAGAGGCCGAGGAGGAGGCGGCGGCGGCGGCCCACGGGGGGACGATGGCCACGCGCGGCGGAGTGAACGCGAGCGACGCGACGCAGCAGCTGCGCGACCTCCTCAAGCTCGACCGCCAGCCCGAGCAGCGCGGTGAGTGGCGGCGGCTGCGGTGACAGCCGGGCGGGCGGGCCGCCATGCCCGGCGCTAGGCCTTCCCCGAGGGATGTGGCGGCTCGTCCCTGCCGTGGTGTTGAGGCGCGCGAGGTTTTAAATAGCGAGGCGCTTCGTGTGCGCTCGGCGTGATGCATCACTCGCGCCCAGTCGCAACTCGTCGGTGTGGACGTTTGTTGAAATTCTTTCTTACCGTACGTTGCCAACCGCGCTCATCGGAGGTGGTGGGGGCGGGTGAAGGACAAGAAACTAAACACGGCGAGCGGTTTTAAAGGAATTCGTTTTCGATCTGAATGATTTACAAGTGCACGGCTCCAGTGGCTTCCTAACATCGGAAGGAGGAGCGTTCCAGACGTCCCGTGTCTACCACGAACACGTTCATCTGCTCCGGTGCAACCCATGCGGTCGTCAATATGCACTGTTCGTACGCACGGCGTGTTGTAACGCTGTTCATCCTTATTGTTGATGTGTGCATGTGTCAATGGGCACTGTGCACGTGCATCGTCTGTGGGTATTGCCGTCGATACGATTTGATGACCGTCCATGCCCCTCCTGCTGGCCGCGATCTCTTTACGAGACGACTCGCCTCTCACTTCTCATTTCGTCGGCAAGATGAGCCGCCGAATTCTCCCCCGCCTCTGCACCTTTCACCTGCTTATCGCGTCAAAGTGTAACCACCCACTGCGATGTTACAATGGAGTTGATCGTTGGGTAATTTCTCATACATTTGGTCGTCTCGCTTCATCTGTTCGTGTGTGCTGTTGGTGTATACTTCTGCTGATCTCTGGTTCGTGTGTGTGTCCCCTTGACCAGCAGCCTCTCATTAGCATTGTGCCGACTTGTTGATGCGTACCACCGATTCACCGTCTGACCCCGCAACAATTAAGCGCGCGTTTACTTTCACCAAATTTTTTTACAGATCCGCCAATGAACGCGGCTGACCCTGCCGTAGTCTCCTACAATGGGCAGTTGAATGGGATGGCAGCGACAGCCATGAGCGAGGGTGCCGGGGCGGAACCTGCGTGCGCCACGTCTGGAGGCGCAGTGGACGCGGCTGTGGTCTTACCGGGCCCCGCTCCGCACCTCGTCGACTCGCAGCAGATGTAAGTTCTCGTCTTTCTCTCGTTGTCCACGGATTCTCTATCGTCGTTCCTCTCTGTTTATCCAAGCAGGTATTATCACCCTGCTCAATTGAAGAAATGCGATGTGTGTGTGTGTTTCTATGTTACCTTTTACAACGTTGCCATTGCTGTTTGTTGCTGAGCACTTTAAATGTTGGGGGTCTGCGTGCTAGGCAACTGTAAGCAAGGTCCGGGCATTACTCGTGTTTTGTGGGCACACACGATGACGATGTTACACCAAACCATTCGGAAAAAAATCTGTTGCCAAACGATTTAAGGGGAAGTAACTTGTAAGAAGATTTTACAACACCTCTGCAACTATCGTTAATTGTAAGTGAATATTGATAGTCACTGTAATCAGTGCAGTTTATTCACAAGTGCACTTTCAGTGAGCCCATTTCATTTGATTCACTTGATTGCTAGCCAGTGTAGCTGTTGGTGTTGCACATTGTGTGCCGCATATACTGCCCTGGCTGTTTTGGTTGCTTATAAAGTTTTGCTTCTGACCTTTTCATTTGAAATGGTTGTGCATGAGTCTTTACAACTTCAGTAATGAGTGTTATGAGAAGATAAATTAGAGAATAAATGCAGACCGTGGTGCAAAAATGTCATTGATACAGCGCCATGCGGCACTTTTTGACTATCATGAATTAGTAACCGTTTCATAATATTCCGCAAGGGGTAGAAATCTGCCATATAACTGAGTTTATGCTCGTAAATGCAAACATTTAAAACTATTTTTATTTAAATTGTTATGGTCTGGAGGTTTATTGTTTTTTTCCCCTGTGGAACAGTCAGCCTACGTTGCTCTAAAGTTTGTGCGGAGCACTTTAAATATACAATCATTCATGAATAATGAATGATTCGCCTACCGTGGAACGTGACACGAAAATAAATATATTCGAAAGTTTATTTCTCGAGTAAAGCCCATTGAGCTAAGAAGCTCCTTTTCAAGGGCGACTTGGACGGCAGACAACATATGTATGTTGAACTTCTTTCGCACCATACGTAGCCTACTGTGCTCATCGCACTTTGCCCATATTAATGGACAACACCGGCTCCCTGTATTAAATATGCTTTATTGTGCCATGTGATTAGGCGAGTGTGCAAGGCATGTGTCGATGGTGGGCACGACTTCTGTGTGTGTGTAGCACCCTGACAGGGGACGACAAGGCGGGTGCGGTGCCGGTGAATGCGTGTGACGTCGTGGTGATTTCCAGCGATGCCTCAAGCCTCTCCAGTCCATCCTCTGGCAGCAACCAGGTGTGGGCTCCCTGCTGTCTAAAGTGATGTCCCTCATTTAACCACGAAAGCCTCAGTGATGTCAAAAATCAACCGGTGCGGTCATATGTCATGGTCTTGAGATCCTGGGATCCATCTCACTCGAGATAATTTCTCCTCAGTGTTCATCCTCTTGGGCTTGTTCGTTCCTCTGGCTGTCGTTCTGTCATCAGTGTCATCCATCAGCAGTATACCTGCCCAGCCACACTTACGTTTCTTCACGGTCTTTATGACATCACTCTGATTTAAGATTGCTCTCTGGTCTGTGTGGTCTTTCTGTTTCTCAGCGTTAATCCCAGCATGCATCTGTCTGCTTGTCTGGGAACTTTTTTAGATTTTGTTGCATTTTAGTTGCCACTCCACATTCTAATCCTTTTTTTTTAAAGAGGTTATCTACACTGAGTTAACACTTCTTTAGGCACCTTGCTGGCTTACTTTATGCTATGAATTTCAATTCCAATAAAAATGTCTCCAGCTGTCACTCACCTGGATGTATTCAGTGTGCTTTGGTCCTTTTGCAGACCAACTACTTTGCTGTTCTCTGGAGTCCATGTTGCTGTTAAATATCATTGATTGCATTAGGGGTTCAATCGCTTCAATTGTCATTACTGTTCGGAACGATGGCAAAGTTTAAATGTCTTGTTATTATTAAAATAATAACCTATAATTGAAATTGCGTGCTCAATGCTACATGTGGTGATGACTTATGTGGGTGTGGCTGTTTGGCCAGGTCAAGATTCAGCCAGTGACGCGCTATGACTGGGAGCATCGCTATTACCCTGGCAACATGATTGCTGTTTCCTCCACCTACCTCGCTTACATCATCCCCAGTGAGTCACAACACCCTTTTTACTCGGTAAACAATATATATTTTTTTATAAACACATGCATTGATGCATTCTACGAATTTAATGTAAAAAACACAATTCATTACCAATCAGGAGAACAGGCTTGCATCACGGGTCACTTAAGCATTGTACTTAACACAATAGTAAGAAATATTTATTTTTACACATTTCATTGGCCAAATGTGGTGGCGTGGTAGCGAAGATGTGAACTCCCTTGCCTGGGATGCAGGGTTCGATCCCGACCATGACGCCTCTATATTAGTTTGCATGCTCTCCCTGTGGTTGAATTATTTTTTTCTCTCTGGGTATTCCCGAAAAAGAGCTATATAGCTTACCTGATGAAATTAAAATAGTTCAGTTTATGGAAGTGATTTTTCTTCAGCAGCATTAGTTAAATACGAGTGACTTATGGACCGGCATTGGGTTAAGCAAGGCTTACTCTGCTGCTGCGACACTGAATGTTGGAACCAATCCGGAGTTTGCTTACGTTAAACCAATCCTGCAAAAAAAAACCACTCCCCGAAGGCTGTGTGGCCGATAGCTTGTGTACAATATCTTCATGTTGTTGGACAGATATGGGAAGGAGGGGATTTGTCTGCTTAATTATATTTGTTACTTATGGTCTCCACAACGGCACTAATGAATATTTTGAGTTTCTGAGAAAGTTGTGGTTGTGAAAGAACCACGCAGCTCATTCTGACATCAACCGTAATAATGAAATCTGAATAATTAAATATAGATACTCTACCAGTGGCTTGGACTTTTTTCACCAAAACTACACAGTTGTGGAGGAAGGTTGTCCGCTCATTTATTTTGCTCATCGCAAATGGAGGAATAGCAAAGCTACACTAACTCTCTCATATTCTTGGGTTTTTTCTTGATACAGCAAGCGTGCTGTGCCGGTTCCACCTGAAGACGGAAGCTTGTGTTGCCTCCGAAATGTCGTGATTTTTATTTTTATTTTACTTTTATTAATTATAATTTTTTACCTACGTGACTTTACCGAAAAAACCCAAGAATATGAATCCTTGCAGTCACGAAAGCTTCAAATCTAGAATTAACTTTCTCATGCTCTCTCGTTGGCTGGCAGACCTCAGCATTGACATTTAGCTCCTGAAACACATTTCTGCCATCACGCACAAGATTAAGATCGAATCACGATTGCGTTTGCTCTGTACGCCTCTGCACCGCGGTCGTGTTTTGGAGCAGAGCCCCAGGCGATGGTGCGGGTGCTGCACGCGCCCACGGCCGAGCGCACCCTCCTGAAGGGCTTCACGGGCGCCGTCACGGACCTCGCCTTCGCCCACCTGGGCTCCAGCCGCCTCGCGTGCGTGGACGAGGCCGGGAACCTCTTCGTGTGGCAGTTCTCACAGGACTCCTGCGGGAAGATCGCGTATCCTTGCTGGCACCGGCCTTGGAAATCGTTCACCTCTTAGTTTTCAATCTGTGTTTCAAAGTAAACACTACCTATTCACTAGGACCCTAAAATGACAGAGGATCCTTGCCTATATACATTTGGCAGTTCACCTGCATTGTTTAACCTACCCTGAGTATGCTTTTGACGACCCTGAGTGTGCTGACGAAACATTGAATGTTGAAACCGGTCCAAAGTTTGCTTGTGTTGAACCATTGCTGCTGAGATTATGTATTCCCAGAAGGGTCATACGGCTGATGGCATGTCAAATAAATACTTTTAATATTTATCTGGAGGGACAAATATGGGAAGGGGGTGTGTTTTCTGCTTAGTTATTTTGTTACTCAGGACATGTCGCTGTAATGGTATTGCATCAGTCAATTACATTGCTCGCTCGGTTCACGTACGTTTTCACAGCTGCTTGTGATCCAAATGCAGTTGTGTGGGTTTGGGCTGCACTCCCACGGGTATCTTCAGGAGCTTGACAATCATCGCTCACTACGCAGTCCAACCTGGAAAACCGGGCTTGTGCATATCGTCGCTCGCGCCACACTTTACGCTCGTTTTCATGTGTTGGGGTCGGCTCACCGCATCCCACTGGCGTTGTCCCTTAACTGGCTGTCAGAACGAAGCAGCTGTTACAGGCGATGCGGCCCGTGGGGACGCCACTGTCGGAGCTGCGCCGCATCCAGTGGTGTCCCTTCATCTACGGGAACAGCGATCGCGAGTCGGAGAGCGACAGCGAGGAGGACGTGGGAAAGATGCTCGCGCTCTTCCACCCCGACAGGGTGAGGCCTGCGCACTCTATCCGAAGTGTTGATGGCTCGGTTGTCTGCTGACGTCTTCGAATGAATGTTTCCGACTTGTCAATGTTCTGCTACCCTAGCGCATGCAAGGCAAGAACAAATTTGCTCATTGGGAGCCATTATAACTTTCTCAATGTTATGGTGATCACGATATTTTTTAAGCCTTTCCTATAAATTCAAGCAACGTGCTCTTTTATTGCAACTTTTGTCATGTTGTTTGTCGCTGAACGTTATGTGCCTGTGCTTAGCAATGGTGTTAAAAATATATTAAAATTTGGTGAACTTAACAGTTTTAACTAAGGTTTAACTAAGGTTGCCTTGTGACAAAGTTGCTTGTACAAAATGGGCTTCAAACACCTGTAGTGTGCTCATGTTTTGATGGAGCACTCCATTCATTGACCTTTCCCATATTTACAAGAATTTAAAATTGTACATTAGTATTGGTTGATGGGGAAAAAGGGATGGGGTTTGAGTGTTGGGGAGGGGAAGGGATGGCAAGGAAGGGTGATAATAGAGAAAGGGAGGGGCGAAGTTACAGAAGGGATAGTGGGAGGATGGTTAATGTTCTCAGGACAAGGACAGCAAGTCGTAGAGGGATATGCAATTAAAAAAATATGAGTCTTAATGTAGAAACGAAAAAGAATTAGCCTCTGTACTAGGAATAGCTTCGTCTCTCTGTGTTTTGTGGAAAACCGAGCTATTATTGCTCTTGCAAGATCAACAGTGATAAGAATGGACGTCTGCACCGTTTTGCATTGCAGACAGTCGATGTAATGCGAGCAAGAGTTTTGGTTGTTAACCGGAGTTGTTGTTGACAAAGAGTTTTTTTTTTCACAGGCAGAAGCGTGGGATCAGGACGTGATCGTTCCTACTTCTGGTCCTTTCAAACCGGTGGCCGTCACCGACATCAAAAATCGCATCACCACTGTGAGAGGGCACCAGGGGGTGAGTGAAAACATTTTCACCACAGCCGCACCAACCGAAAAGTTACACTCGCTTGTTCGGGGCGATCTGTGACATAAACCTGCTGCCCTGCGCTTTTTTGTCACGTGACCAGTCGTGATGTGGTTGGTGCTCTTGGTGAACACGGAGGTGACGGAAACCCCCCCCCCCCCTGCCCCCCCGTGGTTGTGTGTGGCCAGGCTGTGAATACGGGCGCCTTGTCTCCTGACGGAGCTATCTTGGCCACCGCCGGCCAAGATGGGCTGGTCAAGTTCTGGCAGATGTATGCAGAGTCTCAGGACACACCCAGGTGCACACAAGAACGCACGCCCCCCCCCCGCCTGCCATGTGCCCTTTCGCCCAGGGAGTTCCATTTCTCATTCGACCAGATATCAGTTGCCCGCCCTCATCGCATGGGTAAATTAGGGAGTGCAGCTCACTGATGTGTTTAAGGTATGAACCTAGTAGATCCCTCAGGTCCTCAGGCACTGGTCTCTTGGTTGTGCCAAAGGCCAGGACCAAAACTTATGAGGAGGCAGCCTTCAGCTGCAATGGTTCTCACCTTTAGAAGAGCTTGCATGAAGATTTCATGGCATCAGAATCAGTGAATGTTTTTAAACGAAATCTTAAAACATACCTTTTTAGATTGGCTTTTAATTAAGATGCTTTAATCATGCATTTTATAATACTTTTAGTTCATTATAATGTGATGTTATTTTATTTATTTATTTTATTGTTGTTTACATCGTGTCAGCCTCTTCATTTAGTTCTTTGCACGAGTTGTGTTATGTAAGTAAAGTTTGATCGATTGATGGCGTACATTGCCCGTGTGCGACGGGCGGTAGAGATTGTCGTGTTTCCCCGCTGTCTTTCCTGTACAGCTGTCTGCACAAGTGGGAGCCACACAATGGCATGCCCGTCTCGTGCCTGGTCTTTTGTGACAACTACAAGAAGAAAGAGGGAGGGTACGTCGTGGCGGCATTTCACTTCAACGTCTTTGCACATTCCATTCAGCGAGATCAAATAAAACGCAGCAGTGCCCCCAGTGCACTGTAGAGGTACTACTACTTGATAAGGCTAGACATGGTCGATGTAATGTGTTTAAAAGGATTCAGGAAGAGAGCCCGAGTTATTTCCATACACTCTTCTCTGATGATGATGCTTGTCATTTTTAGTGAACAGTACTGGCGGTTCGTCTTGACGGGCACCAATCAGAACCAGGAGCTGAAGGTCTGGTGCACCGTGACGTGGACGTGCCTGCAGACGCTGCGGTCAGTGACCTTCCTGACCCTAGCGTCCTTTCCCTGTCGTACGGAAACTGACGGTGCTAAGAGTTTGCGCTGTTTCTACAAAGCGCTCACAGCATTCCTTCTGTTCAATCGGATAATTTTCAATCCTCTAGAGCAGTTTCTCAAACGTTTGTGGCCCGCGGACCACTCGGCCATTGCAAACTTTTACGTGGACCACACAGCCCCCCTGCCCCTGGTGACAAGACGCATTTACTTTTCTATAAATACCAGTAATACAACATGATTTATATTACCGTAACATTAAAAAAAACATGTCAACGGCGCTATCAGATTTTTTTTTATATGGGGGACATTTAGATCTTAGGATCAGGGTAGTTTGCCTAACTTCATTTTTAAATTAAATATCATAAGTAAAACATGGATTAATATCCAAAACAAGAGGCGAATGCTGTGGGAGAGTAAACCCACAGCATTTACAATTCTCCAACACCCCGTTGTGCTGAACTAGTAATGAATGTTTTATGTGACAAACCTTACTAATTAGTAATGGCGGATTTAACGACACATTTATATTTAAGCGATTGAACCCAAAAAGCCTCTTATGGATGATATTGGTCGTGAAAGCCTAGTACGTGTTAAACAAATACTGATTTTTGCCGAATTGTTTCACCAAACGTAACTGGAAGTATAATGGTGATGCCTTGGATCTCTGTGTTGCAGATTCTCACCAGACTCGGCAATAAAACTGAGCCTTGATATCACCGCCCAGTATCTGGTTCTTTCAGACGTGCAGCGCAAGGTAAGTCCAACACGTGCACAAGCTTTATAACGATGTGGTAACTTTTATACAATGATGTGGGTTTTTTCCCATTTTAATAATATTTCCGTGGTGTGCAGTGTTGACCCTTTCCGTTCCGAGACGTCTGCAAGTTGCAGGGTGTGTCCCGTTCTCCGCTGAATCTCAGAACGCGCAAACAGTTCACGTCAGTCTTATTTAGAGAGGCGTAGCGCTGCTGTTTTCAAAGACATTGTACTCACTGCAGAGAACTGTAGCGACACGACCGCACTCTGTTAGCTGGCGCCAAACTGTGCCACACGCCCTCCCGCATGGCCTAGTGGGAGCCTCGGTACTACATCTTCTGACCTGAAGACGTTCCATTCTTCTCATTCTGTTCCAATAAATATACATACGTAATCGTTATCACGTACGTCCTTGGAATGGGAAAGGGTTAATGTGTTGTTTAGCACGTAAGTTTCCACTGCCACTAGTTATCTATGTGTGGTTATGATGAAGCAGTGTTATTTGCTGCTGTTGTTGTTGTGCAGGTGCTGTATGTACTCGAGCTGATCCAGAACAAGGATGGACACGCGTACTTCAGTTCGCTGGCTGAGTACCTGCTCACGCACCCCATGCTGAGCTTCGGCATCCGGGAAGTGACGCCGCATCGTGCCGGCCGGCAGAGCGAGCACCAGGAGGATGGGGAGGTGGACGCCGCTGGTGTGTGTGTGTGCACCGGTGTGTGTGTGTGCGTGCACCGGTGTGTGTGTGCGGAGTGGTAGTGTCGCGGTGAGCGCGCCTTTCTACGAATCTTGCGAACCGAATTCGATTCCCGCTCACGGCCAACACCAGTGATGGTTATCTGAACCGTTCCTGGATCGCCTCCCGTAGGTCGACTTAACCTCAAATTAGTACCTGGTGTGGAGTGTAAATATCGCCACTGGGGATGCCGTGCCGGCCTTCATAGGTGCTCGCTAACAGCACTTGCCCCAACAGTCTGTTAAAGCTGTTTGGGGGGAACTTGTATCGGGCCTTATCGTAAGGCACTTTACAACAATTCTAAAATTGTACATAAGATGATAGTGGTTAAAATAGAGAGTGGGTCATGAAAAGTGGTGGTGTGGTTATGGAGACATGATGGGGGGTAGGCCTGGTCGTACCCACAACCAGGTACTGGTGGCTATGCTACACGTCTGTAATGCAACGCCTTGGAGGCATTGAGGGTTGGTGGTTCACACACATTCATTAAACTCCCCCTCTCTCCATGGGCGTTGAGCTCACCATCTCCTGGCTTGCCCTGGCTTGTATGATGGCAAGTGGGTTCATTTCCATCTGTACGTGGATTGAGTGTTACCAACCCCCTCCCCTACACCTGTGGGTTTCTCCAGATACTCCCGTTTCCTTCCTCGTGTATAAACACTCATCAGTGGAGTTGGACAACAACCCAATATGGGACCACAGAGCTTGACAATTTGTGTTCGTGCCGATTCTGGCTTCCCACTCGTCCGTAGTTTATCGTGCATCTGAAGTCCTCTTTGGATCGTTCCTACTCGCAGAGAGCAAAGTTGTGCCCATTACAATCTCTAAATGACGATCCCTTGGAGCCTTCACAACTTAGACAGGACTGTAGCTATGAGAATTTTCGATCCCACTGAATTTTGGAGAGGCACCTGACTACAAAACAATGCTTCTTACTTGTTTGTAACGTGATTATCTTGCACACTTTTGTAGAGCGTCACGGGATGGTGCTGCACATATTTGTCTGGTTAGGCATGACGTCAGTAAGGTGCGGTTTGTCGTAAGCAGGTGTATAAGCATAATTCTACTCTGCTACTGAAAATTACAAATAGTGGTACGAGTGGGTTTCAGCGGTCAAAATTATTTACTTGTCCACCAGAGCCATCCTGAGTCGTATGACTTTCTCAGGATGGTCCTTCTACATGGGTTTTTTTGTTCTAAGATGTTTGCAGTCAATTAATCAGTCTTTAAAAATGTGGGAGGAAACTGGAGCACCCGGAGAAAACCCACGTGTGCAAAGGGGGCAACGCTCGATCTCTGTACAGATGGAAACAGATGGCAATTAGTACACTTGTTGTACAGCCTTCTCCTGGTGAGCATCTCCTCGATGGCCTCACCTGTGTGGTGATCCACGAACCTTGGTTGACCTGGACGATGTATAACTTGTGACCAAGCTGTGCTTTATATCCTCTGCCAGATGGTGTGGAAGATGAGGCAGAGGTCACTGGCGGCGTGCTCATTAAGATCAACTGTGTACACACAAGGTAACAGTCACAAAGTGTGAACTTATCGTCCTTAAGCAAAACCATTTACAGTCTTGGTGAATAACCTAATGTGGTGTTTTATTTATATTCTTTGGGTCTTTCGGTAAAGTCACGTAGATCGGTTGAACCTATCTACGTGACTTTACCGAAAGACCCAAGGAATATTAATTCCTGCAGTCACGAAAGCTTTAAGTCAAGATTTGGTATTTTATTGTTAACATTTAATTCTGAAGGTTAATGTCAGCCACAGTTGGCATGAGTGTGGACTGCGTGTCTTTTTCACGACCACATCTTTAGCAGATCGGTTGAGTTGGATGGATGGATTACCTTTTGTGGAGATTATATTCAGCTCATTGACCAACCTTAATTGGGGGTATGCTTAGTAGAACTCCAAGATGGATTCGCTGTGTGTGACTGTTAGAGCGAGGAGAGGTAGTGTCGCTCGCCACGCTACGAACACGGCGACCTGGGTTCGATTCCCACTCACGGTCAAACAGTGACGATTATCTCAACCAGTCTTTGGCCTTCCCTAAGTCGCCTCAAATGAGTACCTGGTGCGATGTGTAAACATCGCTATTTTGGAGACTAAGGCGGTCAGGCGTGGTGCTGTCCACCCACCCACTCGTGTGCCATGCTGGCCTTCATAGGTGCTCGCGAACAGCAATTGCCCCAACAGTCTGTTAAAGGCTACACGGGGGATGTTTGTCTTTGTGTCAGAGCCCTGGAGAACGTGCAGATTCTCTTCTGCCCTCCCTCCACGTCTGGAGCCGCTCCTCCGGCGCTCTCGGTCTCCAGCTCTGCTTCGCACGAAGACATGGGTAGGGCTTGCACCGTCCGTCATTTCGGCACTCGCTGTCAAGAGGTCATTGTGGTCAAAGAAAGCCGTTGATGCCACCACACTTCACCAGCGCTAGATCCTACAGCTGCTGCACGGAAAACCTGCAGCGACCTCCAACATCTGCCCTGATCTCTCATCATCTGCTCTTGTATAGACTCACACAGAGACGCATAGACTCGCATACACTCACACATAGAGCCATAGACTTGCACACAGATCCATAGACTCACAGAGAGGCATAGAATCACAGAGAGCTATAGACTCACACGGAGACCCATCGATCTGCCCTAACAAGTCTCCCACCATCTGCCCTTTGGCCTTCTCTTCCCCTAGGTCGCTGGACTCGTAGAGACTGTTCCAGTTCCTGTCTCAGAAATCGGTCCTTCCATCCTGATAGATCATATCTACAAAACTCCCCGGCCACGTTCTCTTCCAGCCTCGTGCATTGTTGACTGTCTTGCCATGAAATCCCAGAAAACTGTCTCTCTAGACACCTCTACTCAAACGTCTTTCCAACTGCTTGGGCATTACACAGCAAACAAGAGTGAGGGCCGAGCTTGACTTTTACCGAGCCATTTGTGGTTAACGTCGGCAATGTGTCTTCTGAGCTGCCCGTAACAATGTGAGGGACGCAAGGGCGACCGGCTGAGATTTTGTCCATTCCGTGAGTGCTTGGGATTTTTTGCAAATGCAACGTCTTCCCCCGTGGCTGCTCCAGTTCTGCGGGACCGGCTCTCGGACATCAGCTCTGACGTTCCCATCGAAGAGAGCAGCTCCCAGTCATCCGACTTCCAGCGCACATTTGATGACAACCGCAGGTAAAATATGCGAATATAACGCCGACGACAACAACAGCACCACTGAATTGCAGCTTGAAAATAGCAAGCGTTTTCTGTTCTCTGATTTTGTTATATGATCTGGTACAGTTTTTGAGAAAAACTATTTTGCTCGTCTGACGTAACGTTATTGTGCTTGTGGCTTCGTTACTTTCACCATTATCTTCGGCTGTTCAGAATCATAATTGTAATTTATCCTGGAGGAATCCGATGAGCTATGAAGCTCTTTTTCGCAGATGTCCTGTAGGGGCGGGTCAGCAAGTTACAATAACAAGCGATACAAAAAACTATAGGAGTGCAAAATAGAGAAAAGGTATGAAAATCATTACATTTAATTGAATATAAATAAAGTCTATGCAGTAAAACCTCGTTATTTTGCTATTTGATCAATCGTAATTGGGATAATTCGGAACAGAATATTTACAGTATTAGTAATTCGCCATGAGCCGTATTGCCGTACCGAATGGTCTAATTTCGGCATGCACGTCGTGCGACGCCACGCACCACGACCAAAACAATGACTCGGTCTAGTGGCGGCGCGTGTGGTGAGCGTGGTTAGCGTGGTGAGCGTGGTGAGCGTTAGTGCAGACCTGTTGTTGCTTGGGACTTTACCTTGTATATGCACTCTGTGCAAGCCAACCCTCTCAGAAATGTCGTCTACACCTAAATCAAGAAGTAATAGAAAGATAATGAAGTATAAACCCCTTAGTCTTGGAGACAAATCCCTTAATTTTCGCCTGCAGTGCTGGTTACTGATGGTGTTACTTTTTTGGGAGAATAATTTTTGGAAAACAAATTAGGATTTTTTTTTATTGAGGCAGGAGAGGCACTGGGGGGTTCCATTGTACATAATTCAGAATATTGGATAATTCGGCAAGGCCAGAGCCCCATATGTGTCGAATTAACAAGGGTTTACTAAGCTTATGTCTTTCTCCCGCACCTCAGATTAGCATGGTTGGCTGCATACAGTGCGAAAGAAGTTAAACATACATTCCTTTCGATTTTTGTAATTGTAAAACATCCATCCTTTGCGGTCCATTAGCAGTCATTTCAGCCAAGAAGCTCTCTTTCAATGACGACCCGGCCACAACGGATGAGCACGTTACATGGGAAGGGAGGGCTTAGAGAGGACTGCATCGCACGGCTGATAACAACGGTAGCCAGCATGTTACATGGGAAGGGAGGGTTTACAAAGATAGCATCAGACAAAAGCAGGGACATTTTATAAACATGACTAAGAAAATTAACAATAATAATAAATAACCAGAACTATGTACAATGGATATCCAGCGAGCGATTCAAATGTAACATTATGCATGACACAAGTGAGAGGAGCTCTCAGGTGGCGTTTATAACGGCACAAATTAACATTTGCATCTCCTATTTTGAATTAAGTTGTTACAAAAGTGGCGTTTATAAAGCTGCAGTCACAAATGTCTTCGCTGATGGCATTTGCAAGTGTGGCAGTAGTAGTCCTCAAGCAATGCCCTCAGCAAATTTACTGTTATTGTCATTTCCACGTGTTTGTTTTCTTGCATCGCCAGCTATATTGTGCATCTTTATTCACCTCATTGTACCGTGCATTTGCGTTCATGATAACTCGCTGATGTCGACTTAGGCCTCGGCAAGGTAAGGTAAAAGGTAAAAACAACGAGCCTACCTTTACCCTAACTTTTACCCTCACCCCATACAAATAACCCGATTACAGGGTGATTACTGGGGTACTACTACACATGAACAAGGTTTATAACGGTACATGCTAGGTAGAGCGCTTTATTCATATAGAATACTCTCGATTCCAATTCTAAATGGAGGCCATCAAATACTTCCAATGATTGCTTAGCCAGAATCCATCTTCTCAGTTGAAATTGTCTCTGTTTGTATATGTGGATAGCCTCATGAACGAATCTCTCATGGTAGCCAGATGGCTTGCAGAGAACCTCTGTCTTGGAGAAGTCAATGTCATGTGAGGCTATCCACATATACAAACACAGAGACAATTTCAACCGAGAAGATGGATTCTGGCTTAGCAATCATTGGAAGGATTTGATAAAACCGTTTCGGGTCTTAATTGATTGTGTTCACGCTTACGGTGACTTTCAGACCGCATTCCATTCTCTTCCTCTCCCCCCTCCTCTTTTCCGAACATAGATGGACTCGTCCATCTGGCCAACTGCCAAATCGCTGTCTGTGGTGCTGACGTTAGGAAAACTGCCACTTTTTTCAAATTTTCTTGCTGTGGATTTCACACCTGATGATGATTGCTTGTGTTGCAGTCGAAACGTCGTGATATTTTTTATTGTTTTATATTTTTATTATTTTATTTTTTCCCTTCTACGTGACTTTACCGAAAGAACCAAGAATATGAATCCCAGCAGTCACGAAAGCTTTAAATTTAATACAGGAGGTGTTAACCTGTGCAGACACGATGTATGGACACCTATTGTAAGGGATCCAGTATTACAGCCATATTTGTGATTTGTAACTTTGATAGTTCTTGTGTTGCCTTGGTATGGTCTGGGACTGTTTTTGTTGTTGTTTTGCTCCCTTGCCCAAAGCTTGCATTGGGTGTTGACAAATCAGCAAAAATTGATGTACTTATGCAATTTGTATTTATATACATATTTATTTACCATGACTTGCTTACCTTTTCTCTATTTTACACTCCTATCGTTTGTTGTATTGTTTGTCGTTGTAACTTTTGCTGACCCGCCCTCAACTGGACAGCTGTAAAAAAGAGCTTAACAGCTCAGCGGATTCCTCCGGGATGAATACACAATCTTGATTCCGTCGATGGCTCGTGGGTACAGGGAGGACATCCTGGGAAGGGTAGACCTGGGTGGGGGCGCTGCCCTGCTGAGTCCCGGACTCGGAGGCAGCGCGGGAGAGCTCGCCCGCCCCGAGGACTTCATGTCTCCGCTCACGCCGGCGGGGGCCCTGCCCGACGACGCCAAGCTGCAGCTCAAGACCCCCGACGACTTCATGAGCAGCTTGGTCCCCAAGCAGGTGCTGCCCTGGTTCACAATAACCACCAGCGAGCCACTGCCGACTCTCTCTGGCTGTGTTGTTTATAGATTAGTTGGCTGTAGTGTGCCTCTGTGGCTACGTCTACTCGCGTAACATTGATATACCTGCTTATTTAAATTATGAATTCCCTTGTGTATCTGGTGCTCCGTGTGAAAGCCACATCCAAAAGCATTTGTGAAATAAATAGATTAGTTTGGTAAAAAGCACAAAGCCAGCTCAAGAGTGCCAAACCACATGTAAATGAGTTTTACTCCTGTGATGATGGTAACATTACAAAATTAAAATCTATTAAAAAAAATACTTGTGGCATAACAAACATGAGATCAACCAAAAAATTAAGACTCTACTGGGTTTACCAAGCATGTTTTAGAAAGATGATGGGTAGATCTGAATGTTTTTTTTTTACAATTCCAACAAACGCACTCCTTGTGTTACAGCTGGGGCTTGGCTCTCCAACGGGCAGTGGCAGTTCTCTGACTGCAGTGACGGTGATTGGAAGCAATGTGTGAGTAGTGCCTGTGTGCAGCTCTCACTTGTGACACACATTTTGTCTAACCGACTTCACGGCACTGGCTGTAGGAGGCGGCTTGGTATTTGTCATTTCTTGTGACACGCTGTATCGAAAGTGCTCACAGTCTAAAGTAACGACAACTTTGGCGGAGTTTAACACGTAGGCTTTCGCGACCAATATTATTCACAATAAAGGTTTTTTGAGGTTAGAGACGCGGTGCATCGCTCGGCACGTGGTCGGCTGACGTCATCATCCTTGTCTTGCAGCCTTTCTCAGAGCCCCCTCATGTCACCGGTGAGCAGCATGACGCTCACCCCTGGCAGCAGCCTGCACAGCTCCCTCAGCATGCCTCCGGGGGGGGGCCCACACTGCGGGGTGAGTGACGCCCCCGTGGCTTTCTTGTTTTCCCGCGCACCGTCGGCCTCGTCCACGCGATGACAGCGCGTGATGATCGCGCTGGCGCGCCGTGTGCCTCTTCCCCCCCCCCCTCGCAGGCCTCTCCCCTCGCCATGGCCGACTTGACTAACGCGTCTCCTCCGCGAGAGCTCCGCTCGCCCGACGTCATCTCCTCGGCCTCGTCCAATTCCACCCTGCCCCAGGTCATCCCCGAGGTGGCGTCCGAAGCTGTGCAGAGGGGCATGCGGGACTCGGCCGAGCCGGGCGCCCGCCTGGGCTCCCCGCCTGAGCAGAGCGGCCTTCTTGGGCAGGGGGGCAGCCGTCCTCGGTCCCCCGACGCCCCTAGCAGGGGGTCGTTTGGCTCCATGGAAGTACCCCCGTTGGATGCCGGACCTCGCCTGGTCTCCCCACTCGGGCAGAGCAGCTTGGGGACCGTCGCCGGCCAGCGTCAGATGCCCGACAACGTGCTCAGGGGCACCTACAGCCTCGGTCGGCATTCTCCGTCTGAGGCAGGGGGGCACCTCGCTCCCTTGGCCAGGCAGGCCGCCCCGGGCCAGGTGGTCGGGCCGCAGCGGGCAGCCGAGAAGGAGGATCCTCCGCGGCAGCTCTACGGGCAGCAGCAGCAGCAGGAGCAGCAGCAGCAGCAGCAGCAGCAGGACGCCGCGTCCACCAGCCCCGCGTGGCCGGCGGCTCCTGACCTCACGCGAGAGACCCGGGGTGGAGTCAAAGTCAGGCAAGTCGGCACCACACCATCGGAAGGCTCCAGAGTTCAAACGGCCATTTGGCAGGAACTCCCCAGATCCAAGTCCTCTTCCCTCCTACCTCCCAAACGACACGTACGAACATTCAACAAATATCGCATCCTTCCCCACCACCGCCGGTCAAAGTCAAAAGTTGTCATAATGAGTGCAGCGAGCGTTGCGCGTTGCACGGTGTAACTGGGGAAAATAAGATGCGAACCATTCCTCGTCGGTGTGACGCCCGCCCGCTGGCCCGGCTGCGGTGGCTTTCGGGGCCGCGCTAGAGCTGGCGGATCGTTCGCGGAGGAAACAGGTCGGCTCCACGGCCATTTGTGCTTTTTGTCGCTTCAGCTCGGACGAGGACTTGGCGATGCGCCGGCAGCGAGCGTCGCCATCGCGCGAGCGCCAGCACCTCACGGCGGAGCAGCAGGAGAGTCAGGACGCGAGCTCGGAGCACAGGTGCCTCCGCGCAGACGCCCCGCCAGCAGCCGCGTGTCGCACTGCCGTTTTAATAACGCTTTATTATTCACCGTGCGGGCCAGTCGGTTATTATAATTTATAATAGTTGACTTGTTTATCCAGGAGAACCACGCTGAGTCGTAGGACTCTCTTTTTTCAGCAGGTTTCTGCTACCTGGGTATTTTATTTTCCGAAGTTTTCAGCCAATTTAGTGATGAGTCTTTACCGTGGCACGTGAGGGTGCAACGCTCTATCCCCACATTTTGTATATTTTATGCCTATATATTTGTAGCGTGGATTTTTCTCCGGGTCCTCTGGATTTTCCTTCCACATTTAGAATCAACATGCATTTAGGGTATTTGGCCGCTGTAAATTTCTACATGATGAGCCACTTCGTTGAGCTGTCATTTGTGGCAAGGTCGCTTCTGAAAAAGAGCTACACAGCTCAGTGGGCCTTAGCTGGTAAAATAAACAAATGTTGCTTTTTCTTTTGGTTAGCACTGTGCTACACGCTTACCGGTCACTTTTCACTCCAGCCTGACCAAAGTGCTGCATAGCTTGCAGTACTTGCTGCTGCAGGTCTAACATATGTTCAGTATGTGGTGTTTTCTTGTAACATATATTTGTTTAATGTATGGCAGCCCCTGTGAGAATCCTCGATATTCGTGCTGTGATGCCTGGACACGGTAGTAAACTCGTGCTGCGCCAAACGCACTGGTACTGAGAGCTCTCGTCATCCCGCCGTGCGGCGAGGACACAAAGGGCCTGGTGTCTACGGTAGAAGGTCAACATCGCTAAACATGATGCACTGCCTGCACCAAGACCTGATGTGGGCAGTGATGAGAAGGAAACTGGCACTGTTTAGACACACATGTAGGATGGATAACAACAGGAAATTCAAAGTTTGTTGCTAGGAAAAATGGAAGGAACCGGAAAGTCGAGGAAGACCTAACAGAATGGCTTGAGGACAAGAGATTTGTGCCAGGAAGATGTGCCACTGCTTGAGCATGATGGCACAAGGCAGAGGAAAGTGGAAACAAATGACAACATGTGCAGTGGACACCTGTGGGCCATCTGCCCATGGATCGTGATGATGATGACAAAACAAAGTCTTTCCTCTCCCCGTCATCAGTGATCAGGATGAGGAGGTTGCCTTCCTGTCATCGCCTGCGGGCGTTGTGGCCGGCGCGGGGGCGGCCGTCATTGCGGGACCGCACCGGGGGCCTCCGTCTCAGCCGGGCTTCCGCGACCAGAAAGGCCGCGTGTCCCCTCGCCTGTCTCCAAAGTCGCGACGCAGGGCCACCCGCGAAGACAGGTGCCACCCCAGCTCCTTGAGCAGCGCGACCAAGCGGAGCCACGCACCAGAGAAACACATTCACTTGAATAGGACGATGGTCTCCATCTAAAAGTGTGTGCTTTGTGTTTCTTTTTGTACTTTGCAGTGAAAGAGCATCTCATCCATCAGCTTCGGACCAGGTGGGAGCATACATCTCATCGTTTGTTAAGTCGCTGATCGCCTCTTGGCACTGACGCATTGAAGGGTGCGTGCATTCAGTACTCGGGATTAGTCGTTGAGAATCTGCATCTTATCCTGGAGGAATCCGATGAGCTATGAAGCTCTTTTTTACAGATGTCCATAGTGGGGGCAGGTTAGAAAGTTGCAATAATAAACAATACAAAAAGCGAGGGCAAATTCAGGGGAGAGCGGCCTCCTCTAGGTGCCGGTAGCACCGTTGACGCTCGGAGGCTGCATTACAAATGCTTTTTTTTCCGAACGCCCATGGGTGTAATTTGTCCCCGCCGTGTCTGGTGAGTCCAGGCGAGGGAGGATGGGCAGGCGGCCATGCTGGCGTGCTTCACGACGCTGCAGACCAAGCTGGCGGCCATCTGGAGCCGGCAGGAGGAGATGGTTCGCGGGATGGAGGCGCGAGGGGAGGCGCTGAACAACGCCCTCTTGAGCCGCATGGAGGCCTCGCTGGCCAAGTCTCGAGAGCAGGACCGTATCCTGCGTCGGGGTGCTGCCACGTCACGTCCGCTTCAAGCGCACACCGTTCATTTAGTCCTCAGACAATGAACGCGCGTAGCCATGCCTCGAGCGTCGATTCATTCTCGCCTGCGTTTGCTTCATCAGGGTGACGGGGACCGATGGTCGTGATTCTAATTCTCATGTACGGGTGTTGGGTCGATTGCTAGTTTTTTATGAGCTGGGAGTTGACCCATTTGTTGAAGTGACCCAAGTTTATACAGGAGTTTGGGAAAAGAGGCCAGCAGTTGATGGGAATAAGCAGAAAGAGACATTTTTTACCTGCAGTGTGGTGGTTGAGTGGGTGGGTGGACGAGTGGGTGAGTGAGTGGTTTGGAGAGTGTGACTCGCGTTTAGAGAATATTGCGCTTTGAACCCGATGACCCCATTCTATTCTTGCTCACGACCAATAGCAGGGGCAAATATTTGAACCCATCCCGAGCCTCTCTTCGGTCGACTCGGCCTCATATAAGTACCTGGTCTGATGTGTAAATGTCGCTACTGGGGAGACAAAGTCAACCGGGCGTGGTGTTGGCCACCCACCTCCTCCTGTGCCCAGCCGGTCTTCATAGTTGCTCACTAACAGCACTTTCCTCAACAGTCTGTTAAGGCTATATACTCAATGGACATTTCTAAATGTGGAGGGTAAACCCGGAGGATCCGGATAAAAATCCACGCGACCACCGAGAGATAGAACACGCAAACTCCAAATGTACATTAGGGGTCGGCATCGAATCCACAACCTCTTGCTTACCAGGCGAGGGAGTGAATTGTCGTGCGGAGGCAGGACGTCCCTGCTGGAGAAGTTGCTCCCTTGACGTGTGACCCAGAGGCCTGGTTCACCACGAAGCTGCAGCAGCACGAGGACCGCGAGCGAGCGCTGCAGCAGCAGCTGCAGCACAACCTGACGCAGGCCATGTCCGGCGTGGTGGCAGCCCGCCTCGATAAGGGCATGCGTGACGAAGTCAAGAAGCTCTTCCCCCAGGGTGAGCGTCATTCGTCCGCTCGCACGACCTCACGCGCGACTCTTTCCCGCGCTGCCTCGGCACGGCCACGTCTCTGGGCGATGACTGTTCCTGGGCTCTGGGAGCCTGTTGAAGCCAAAACCAGGGTCTGGTATCGCGTCACGTGTTATTTACGCCCTCGCTGTTGAATGCTCGCTTGGACTTTTTTTAAGGTGTGGGGTTGAGGGATGTGCGATTGGTGAGTAAAAATGCCCCTTTATCTCAGCGATCGCAAAAGCGGTGGAGCCGTTGGCAGCGCAGCTGACGAGCACGATGGCAGCCAAGCTGACGGCAGCAGAGGTCTCCACGAGAGATGGCATCGCCAAGATGGTCAAGGCCAAGGTGTGTACCTCCTCCATCCTGATGGGCGCTCTGGTACAATAAAAGCAGACTGCGACGGAATCGCCGATCTTGCTGATGTTAGCTCAGCGAATAACGGGGGCATGTCACACAACTACTTTATCAAAGTATTGCTTGCCAATGAATCGATTGCCAATTATTTAAATTGCCAGTGATTCTATTGCCCATGAATTGTAGTGAATCGACCGTTTCAAGATGGCTGTCCAAACAACTTTGAATTGAGTGCCGGATCGACTGAGCTGAATCAATACAAATTCACCTTGATTCATGATCCACAGTACCATATCTTGGCAAACACCACACCTACTTTCATACATGGGCAAATCTCTCATCAGTGATGTTGTCAGGTGTGTGATATTGTATTATAGCGCCAGCGGGTGCACTCACGGTTAAGGGATACAGGAGGGGTGGCTGTACAAGCACCACGGTGACTTAAACATGAATCTTTTTTCAGTGAATTTATTGATTTTATTCGTTTACGTGGGAGAGAAATATTCGTCCCTGAGCGGTTTTACGAGTGGCCGTGGCGTTACCGCAGTGAAAAAACAGGAAGTTACACCAGCGAATAAATCATAACCTATATTTAACTTTTTTCGCACCGTACGTAGCCAACCGTGCTCATCGGAGCTGCGGACACAGTAGCAGACACTTTCGAGGAGAACAACATTTGGCCCCTGCACTACTCAAGTAACACTGGCAGCTAACACAGATATAGCACAAACTCGCATGTCGGCATCTGAGAGAACTTCGAT